GGCTATCAAATGGTGGCCAAGCCACAATCCAGCCTATGCTTTCTTCAGCTGCTTTAGTATGCAGGCAAGTATTAGTGTCTATTGAATAAGTTTTTAGTTTTGCAATATCCATACTTCACTAGGAAGGAGGGTATGTCTGTTCTTCGTCAAGAAGTCAGCCAACTGGAAGCTTTGGTCTGGATGTAATTGTTTGCATTAGAAAAATAATCTACTTTTTCCCTGACTTTGGGTCCAACAGTTATTGCAGCCTTAATACCACACTTTTAGAGCCTACTGTCTCATTTTGTAGATACTTTTACAGATGAGCAGCCACAAATCAAGAAAAAAAATTCTGACCTCTTACTTACAGACAAAGCAAATGTAGTTTCCAGAAGTGGAAAGGTCACTTTGTTCTCCACATGAAACCAAGAATAAAGGTCCTGAAACCCCTCAACTGGGCATCACAATAGCTATGGAAAACCATAGTCAGAGAAATCTAGGAAAGGCTTCCTTCCTTCCTTCCTTCAGCTTCTTTCTGGTGAATAAATTTAATCAGATAGATCATAAAATCAGAAACAATCCTCACTGTTTTTCTTCTTGGATTGCCCTAGAAACAGAAGTGTAAAACTGGAATTTTTTTTTTTTTTTTTTTTTTTTATGTGGGGGAAAAAGAAGGGGAAGACTAGTCCTCTACTTTAGGTGAATCACCCTTATTTTGTAATTTCTCTTGGGATGAAAGAGATGCATTGTCTTGTTTCACATGACTTGCCAGTATTTCTCAACTATAGTTTATTAAATGTGCTCTATAAAGGCATTTCTTCTCTTTCCTTCACTCTTTCTCTTTTTTCCTTTCCTTTTTCTTTACTACATTCTTCTCTCTTTCTCAAAAGAATATCTAAATAGTTTCATTTTTTTCCATTACTACTTCTTTTCTTGTTTTTGATTACTGAAATTCAGATCCTACAAGGTCTGAAGAAGTAATGATACCTGGATAGTTACTGAAAAAGGGACATCAAAAACTGATGAAATCTAACAAGTGAAGGAAGATACTTTAGTTGAGGTGTTTACCATTCATTTTTGTTCTTCATTTAATTAATAGTAAGGTGGTGGTATTTTTAATAATCTATTTATTTCAACAAAAACACCCCTTTTTCAAGTAAACAATAACATATCTCTCAGATTCATTTGTCCTTACAAAGAATGGGTAAAAAGTATAAGTTTTATTTTTAGAGTAATTGCAGGCTGCCATAAGAAAAAATTAGCTGGTCTAAATGTTCCTGGCTGGGAAACACTGTATTTTTCTGCTAAGTTATAAAATTAGCTGTATTGAGCATAGTATGCCAAAAATGATTCTATTTGGTTTTGTTGCCCTGATAGGAAGCAAAATTTTATGTGTTTGTTTTCATACTCTTGCCACAAGGAAATCCCCAGGGCTTTGCTTTCCCATTGCTAAGAGGAAGAACCAGAATATCTGTTCCATTTGCCATTTGGAAAGTCCTTTGTTATGTGCTATCCCCTAAAGGAAGAAATATAATGCTGCCCTGGACTTTGCTAAAAAAAAAAAACACAAACACCTGCTAAGAGAAAATAATCTCCTATTTTAACAGATTGTTTAAGATACTCATTTAACAGGCTACCTGAGAACTACACTGACTAAGGTACATAATTTGAGAGAACTGTAACTATCCAATTTCATCTTCTTACTACAGAGACATAATCCAATTTTGCTGAGAGCTTAAATATATAAAAGGTATTTTTATACCCTTGCTCTCATGCAAATCTCCATGCTAAATAGGGCCCTCTATGCTTTTCCTGTTTGAACAGATCAGTTACACAGCAATGGAAGGAAGGCTGTAGTTGTTTTAGTCCCAATTTCAAACAAGCATTTTCAAACTGCAATACCTCAAAAAGGTAGAAGGAAAACATAAGAACAAGTTAAAACCATCAAACTGCCTTGATTTTAATATTTAAATGTACTAGATACCAAGTGAGTGGTGTCTGTTCAATGGCCTGGCAAATGACCACGTCTCAAGAGTTCCCTCGTTTACCCCTGTGCCGAAGGCTAAAGTCAGATAGGTTTGCACAGAGCAAGAGGAGAAACAACTGGAGAAGAAATTAGCAACAAAATGACATTGAATTATATCCATGGGGCTGTGGGTTAGGAATGAAGGACCAGGGTCAGAGCTGGCACACCCTACATAGTGCAGGCTGGAGGACAGAACCTGTGATGCTTTCCCATGAAAATGCAGCTAGAGAGCACTCACAAAGCCAAACAGCTGCTCAAGAAACAGGTGACAAATCATGCATTGTTAGTCACATACCTGTGTAGGAAAAAAGCTCCCTACTTGTTAAAGAATCAACACAGATATAATGGTCATCTCCTAAACGTTGGATTCTTTGTTCAAGACTTTATGTTGCAATAATGTTTTAAAAATCCCACAGAAAAGCATTGACAAACATTCCAATTTATAGCCTTCTTATTAAGGCTTTAACTGAAATAAATTAAGAATTATAAGACTGTGACTGCCCTGATTTTGTTTGATACATGATAATTTTGAGGCACGTAACTCAAGTGCTCCTTTTCATGTAAATACTTTTCTGCTAACAGGAGTCAAATAAAGTAGCATATAAAGAGAATCAGCCACAAATAACGCAGGAAAGAACATTCTGCTCTTTTGTTTTGATTTATTTTTTGGCTGGACTAAAATTTTTGAGCTCATACTATTGTAGCTGTACTGGCTACCAAAAAACAAGCCTGGGATAATGACTTTTGAATCAATAGCAAAGGAGAATATTGGAATAAGAAAATTAAGAGCTGAAATGCCAGTTCTCACCATGGAAAGCACCAATTCAGTTCTGAGTGGTCTGTCAATGGATTCACCTTTTTGGTATTTTTCTGTGGAGTAGCAACTCAGTCCTCAGTGTCTGGGAGCTGAAAATGCAGTTTGGAAAATCAAGCAATGTAATTTCCATGCAGCTATTTACAAAATTAAAAATACTTTAAAAGTATATGTTTTCACAATGAAGAAAATGAATTATTTAAAAATTGGGGAGGGTGATGAATGGCTTCTGAACTACAACAGAAAAGTGTCACAGTCATCTTTTCAAATTCTATATGATGGTTGTCATGATTATATGTGGAAACAAATGTTTGTACTGATTGCATGGTTAATTTTGCCAAAGTCCTCTGTCAATACATTGTAGAAACAAGTCAGCACACACACACAAAAGATGAAAACTGTCACCTTCAGTGTTTAAGTGTTTATGGCTTCTTTTCAATCACCTGTGCATTCATCAGTTTTCACTGCAACATGAGAGACACATTTTCATATGAATTGGTCAGTTTGAAATGCATTAAAAACAAAGAATTGAGGATTATACCTTGTTACATACCCAGCATAATGAAAGGTAGAATTTATTAGGTAAATCAGAAGATGTTAAAATCAGAAACGATGCTTTTTCAGGGAAAAGCTCCATTTGTCTTCATCTGGAAATTTCCATGTCAAACGAGATAGAATTCAGATCTTGGGGCTCAGCTTTGCTTTTATGTGGCTGATCCATCCTTCTTATTTTGACTAACACTGAAATTAGAGCACAACTCCCACCTCCACAGAATATACTGGGCACACAGCAAACATGGGGAGTGACCTCCCCACTAACCAAACCTGGAAAGCTGTTCTGGGCTGCAGGGACACCCAACACCCCCTCACAATTAATTCTGCATAAGAAAGGTGGTGAAAAGCAGGAATAGGTTGCCCAGAGAGGTACTGGTGCTCCATCATTGCAAATCTTCAGTCAGGCTGGACAGAGCTCTGTGGAAGATCTAGTGGAAGATGTTAATGCTCATTGCAAGGGTGTTGGACTCTGTGACCGCTAAAGGTCCCTTCCAACCCTGTGATTCTGTGACATATGATGGGACAATTCCACAGCTCTGCAGCTGGCACAGGTTGCAGCAGTACCCTTCTGCCAGGAAAGAATAAGGAAAGGCAGCTGGTGACGAGTTCCTGCTGAAGAATGGCTGGGGCCAGGGCAGCCAAGGCGGGGCAGGGCCTGGGAGGCATGTTTTGTCTCAGCTGAGGATGGGCCCGTTGCTCACAGCTGCTCCTGTGCCAGCAGCCCCCGGGTCCAGCTCTGCCTGTGCTGGGGGCATTGCACAGGCCAGAGGGGCTGTAGCTGGAGCACAATGACAGTGGCCAAAGCTGAGGGCACTGCAAGGCCATCCACAGCCCTCTTCCTCTACACCAATCCCCTGTGTTGTCACAGAACACAGAAACACAGAAAAACAGAATTGCTGAGGTTAGAAGGGACCTCTGGAGATATCTAACCAACACCTGTCAAGGCAGGGTAAGCTGGAGCAGGTTACCCAGGAAAGCATCCGGGTGGGTCTTGAATGTCTCTAGAGGCAGGCTCCACAACCTCCCTGGGCAGCCAGTTCCAGTGCTCTGCCACTCTCAATGTGAAGTAGTTTTAACTCGGGCTAAGGTGGAAATTTTTGAGTTTTGGTTTATGGCAATTGCTCCTTGTCCTGTTGCTGGGCACCACTGAAAAGAACCTGGCACCACCCTCTTGACAGCTGTCTTCGAGACATTTATATGCATTGATGAGAGTCCCTCTCAGTCTTCTCCAGGCTGAACAGGCCAAGCTCCCGCAGTCTCTCCTCATAACAGGGATGCTCCAGATCCCTCATCATCTTTGGTGTGTCCCTTGGACCCTCTCCTGTAGTTTTTTCTTGCACTGATGAGCCCAGAATGGACTCAGCACTCCAGATGTGGCCCCACCAGGGCCGAAAACAGGGGTAAGACCACGTGCTGGCCACACGCTTCCCGATCACTCCAGGCTACCACTGGCCCTCCTGACCGCACGGACACGCTGCCGGCTCCTGACCAGCCATCACCCACCAAGGCTCCCACGTTCCCTGGATCCTCCCGGCCGCGGCGGCGGTGGGAAGCGGCCGCAGGGGGCGGGTCGCAGCGGCAGGACAGGCGCCGCCTCCCCGCCCGCCCGGCACTGCGGGCCCGAGTGCGAGGAGGAGCGGCGGCGGCGCGGTGCTCCTGGCGGGCGGGCGGAGGTGAGCGGCGCCGGGGCCGGGCCGGGCCGGGGCGGGCCGGGCCCCATCCATGCCGGGCGCTCCCGGGCGCAGCCGCCGCCCGCGGGGCTCTCCCTGCTGCCCATCGCGGCGGCTGCGCCGCGGCCGCCCCGGTCTCCGGGCGGGCTCTGGCGGCGCCGGCGCCCCACGGAGCGGTGCGGCCCGGCCTCGGGCAGCCGCGGGGGCGCTCCGGTACCTGGCGGGGCCGGCGAGCCCCCGCCCCGCGGCGGGCGGGCCTGGCAGCGCTGCCGCTCCTGTCACGGGCGGTGTTGTCGTTGCAGCTGGAGATGCCGGCCCGGACCGGGGCCCCGCCGAGCCGCTCCGGGCTGGATCTCCGCTCCGCGCTGCCGCCCAGGGGGCAGCGGCCCGCGCCCGGCCTCCCGCCAGCCCCGCGCCCCGTAAGTGCCCGCCCGAGCGGCGCTCACGCACACACGGCCCGGCTTGCCTCGGTGCGGTTCTCTCCTCCCGTAGTTACTTTTCCAGAAGCAGTTTTTCACGTGTGTCACCATCTGGCTGACATTGCTCTGTGATGTTCTGTTAGCTAATTTAAGAGTATATGTCAAATCTATGTCGCTTTTATTATTTTTTATAACTATGGAATGAGTTAGTTCATAAAAGAAGGCTGGTTTTGTTGAAATTTCTTCCTGAACAACGCATCTCAGCTGCTTCTTATCATCTGCTTCCCATTTATTTACTAATGGATTGCACAATAACTTGATGGAAAATCTGTCCAGGGGCTGAAGTTAGGCTAACAAGTCTTTGTTTTCCTTAGTCGTCCTCCCTTCTTTAAGCAATATGTGCTAGTCTGCCTGTCTTGTCATCTCTTTACTTCTGAAGATGTCACTTTGGTCAGCATTTTAAGCCTCAAGGGCTGATTTCATAGTTGTCTGCTGACTTGAAAATCTTTATCTTATCTTCATCCTTTACTCTTAACTTACCTTTTCCACTTTGACCTCACCATCTCCCTGTAGAAGGAATTTCTTTAAATACCTACTCACAGTTAACTTTTCTGCTGAGGGCTGAAATAAAGAAGATGTTTAACAATAGTATGAGTTATAACTTGCTCTGTTTCCTCTGAAGTTATAAACCTTGCCTTCTGTCTTTTGTCTTTTTATTGTATTTATGGAACTTTTACTTGTTGCCATTTATCTTCTTCACTAGTTACAAACTCACTTCTGTACCATCCTTGTTCTGATTTTATCTCAACATGATGCACTGTTTCTTTGTCTTTTTATAGTGCTTCTTAACCATGCACACAACATTTTATTTTTTTAATCTTGTGTGATTTTTCAGGTCAGGAAAGCTCTCTGTTGCAGTTATACACTCTTGCCTCTGAATTGCAGTTGTGCATTTAATATAATCCCTTTCAGTAACTGCTAGCACTCTTCTTTTGTACATCTCTTAGATTACTTGTCTAAAAGTCTTGTCAGCCTGTTCCCTGAGGGTTTTTTATGAAGTCTGTTAGTTTGATGCTGTTACTCTCGCTGTATTTTCCTCAGAACAGGCAGTGAGAAACTTTGGCCAGCAGGCCGAATTCAGCTCACCAGAGCAATTCATCATCCAAGTCCTGCGTGCCCACTCTCCCCAGGATCCTTTGGACTAAAACTGGAAGTAGGCTGCAGCATGGTTAAATGGTACTGGTAGCCCATTTCCTTATGGTGCTTCCCTTTGAATCTCAAAGTTTTGCAGCACATTCTGGTTACATGGTAAGAACTGGAGTGGGCTGCTGTAATCACATGGTGAAAGCATACATGTTCTGTCATATCCAGTTACATCTCTTATCTCATTAGATATTCTCATGTTCCTGGGTGCAAACCCATCCTGATACAGGAAATACTGGTAGTTTGGTCATGTGCTAAATACGTTTCAGGTCACATGGAAAAAGTCAATGCTTTTTTGAGGGCATGCGTAAAAATCTTTGTGCTGTGCCTCTGCCAGAAGGATTCACTGTTAGAATCTTTTCTTTGAACACTAGCTTTGTTGTCACTTTCACATATTGCTTTCTGTCTTTAACTTCTTAATCCAGTTTTGGTGAGTTTGTACCTTCTAGTCAAAGCTGAAATGAAAAGTGCCCATTCTTCTAGCAGTGTCCTCTAATTTCTGAAATACAAAGCTGCTTTTAATTGTGGGAGGTTGGTTCACCACACATTATTAGCCAATGGCTGGTTAATATCCCCCACTGATTATTAATTACCATCATATCAGCTCTTGGATGGTAGCTCAGGAAAAGGTTCTGTGTGGTCTGTTGCTGATTGCTCCCAAGACAGCAACCTTGTGGTTTCTTTTTGCTCCTTCTTAGCCTGCCTCTCCTCATTGCTTCCTTAATATTCAGACTTTATTGCTGTTCTACAATTATATTGGCTTTGTCTGGGAGGCCTTTGGTAGCAGGATGGGGAGGAGTGCTGTAGGGGTGGTTTCTGTGAGAAGCTGCAGGAATCCTCCCCTGTGTCTAATGGGGCCAGTGTCAGCTGGGTCTGGGATGGACCACGGCTCACCAGAGCCCAGCCCATCAGCACTGGCTGTTACCTCCCAGGTAACATAGGTAAGAAGGGGAAAAAAAGTAATTGCAGTGCAGAACAGAGGATGAGACCACGTGAGAGAAAAAACTCATGTAGACACCAAGGCCAGTGAAGAAGAAGGAGGTGGCCTGAGCACTGGATCAGACATTTCCCTGCTGCCTGTGGTGCAGGCCATGGTGAGGCATCTGTCCCTCTGCTGCCCATGAGGTTCATGGTAGAGCAGATATCCACCTGCAGCCCATGGAGGAGCCCCACACCAGTGTATGTGGATGCCTGAGAGGAGGCTGTGACCCCATGGGAAGGGGTGGAGCAGGCTCCTGGCATGGACTGTGGAGAGAGGAGCCCACATTGGAGCAGGTTTCCTGGCAGGGCTTGTGGCCCCATGGGGACCCACACTGCAGCAGCCTGTTCCTGAAGGATTGCACTCTGTGGAAGGGACCCTCACTGGAGGAGTCTGTGAACTGTATCCTGTGAGAAGGACTCACACTGGAGAAGTATGTAGAGGACTCCACTATGGGAGGAGCCTCATGCTGGTGCAGAAGAAGATTTTCTCTCCCTGAGGAGGAAGCAGCAGCAGGAGAAGCAGCATGTGATGCACTGACTGTAGAGTCCATCCCCTGTGTCCCTGTGCTGCAGAGGGGGAGCAGGCAGAGAATTGGGAATAAAGTCAAGCCCAGGAAGAAGCTTACTGGGGTGAGGGGAGGTGTTTCTTTAGGATTTGTTTTACTTCTCATTATCCTGCTCTGATTTTGATTGGTAATAAAGTCAGTTACTCTCCCCAAGTAGAGTCTGGTTTGCCTCAGGTGGCAATTGGTGAGTGAACTCTCCCTGTCCTTATCTCAACTCCTGAGCCTTTTGTGGTATTTTCCCTCCTCAGCCCAGCCGAGGAGAGGAGTGATAGAGCAGCACCTTATTGGACACCTGGCCTGCAGCCAGGGTCAACCCCTGTCAGCGATGCAGAACCACCTAGGTTGTAACTGTGGTTTCATGTGCAGACTTCCCTCCTGAGCATTGTTTTGTTAGATTTTAATGTCTTTCTTAGAGCTTTAATGCAGTTCTGTGACCAAGGATATAGCAGGATATAGCAGTATTTATTTTATTTTCCTGTGAGCGTTAGCTTTTGTTCTTCTTCAAAAGAAGAAGAATTAGAGTCTAATTCTTCTTCTAGAGTCTACACTGAATTAGAGTCCTAAAATTATCTTCCCTTTTATTATTGGGTGAAATCTATCTCTTCCTCTGCCATTAGCTTTCTCTGAAAGGCTGTCCCATGTGTTTGTCTCCAGGATTTATTTTACTTGCCTGGATAGAAAATTGTGTTAAGCATATTTGTGACTCATGGCCTTGAATCCTTTACCCTTCCATCCACAGTTAATCCTTATACATCCATGGCCAGACCAAGCAGTCTGACCTAGAAATGTCATTAGTAATCTCACAACTGGGTCTTGATAAATTTCTTTGTTGTTTCTGCCATTGGATCCACATGAGTGGCCCATTTTCCAGGCTGACAGGTGAGCGTGTCAGATGAATGTTTGTCATGATGTTATGACATTTGCATCTTTGAGACTTGCATCTCCTCCTTCATGGCCAGGAGAGGATATCGCAATAATAACCCGCATAAACTTTTAATGGAATTAGCTTCCATGTACTCACTGATCTCATGCTGATCACAGGTCAGTGCTCTCTGCATTCTACTATTTTCCAATTTTCTTTACACGTTTCTACTCATTATTCTATTCACCATTAGTTTCAGGAGTACAAAGTTACATTGTGGGCCAGTATTCCAGGGCAGTGGAAGGTAAGAAATAGAAGATGAAAAAACTGTTGTACACTTAAGTAACTATTATTGGAGTGCTGAAGTACTTCATGTTACTTATTACTTCTTCTATTGTCAAGACAAAATTGATTAGCACATACTTGATTAAGGAAAAAATATAATATGAAACTTAGAACCAAAGATTTTGCTTCCAGAGGCGTTAATGGATTTTGAGATCTCATAAATTTGTATGATGCTGATTTTTCCTTTTGTTTTTTCTTTTTTCTTCTCTTTCCTTTTTTTTTTTTTTCCCCCTACAGAAATCATTGTAGGTTTGGTGTCTTGGAAGCATGGAAACAATCTCTATGATGGGGAGTCCCAAGAACCTCAATGAAACTTTTCTGCCAAATGCTGCCAATGGCATCAAGGATGCCAGTAAAGTCACAGTAGGCATCATTGGAAGTGGAGACTTCGCCAAGTCCTTGACAATCAGACTCATCAGATGTGGGTACCACGTGGTCGTAGGGAGCAGAAACCCTAAACATGCTGCTGATTTCTTTCCCCATGTGGTTGATGTCACTCACCATGAAGATGCAGTGGCTAAAACAAACATCATTTTTGTAGCCATACACAGAGAACATTACACCTCTTTGTGGGATCTCAAACATTTACTTGTTGGTAAAATTCTGATTGATGTCAGCAATAATACAAGAGTAGACCAATATCCAGACTCCAATGCAGAGTATTTGGCATCACTTTTTCCTGATTCCCTAATTGTCAAAGGATTCAATGTCATTTCAGCATGGTCACTGCAGTTAGGACCAAAAGATGCCAGCAGACAGGTAAATGTTTTTATTTGTATTAATTTATTTGTGAGGTGAAAATGACAGGAACTGAATGTAACAGCCAGAACTCATGAAATTTACATTCCCTGACTTAACATGCCTAAAATGTTGGACCTTCAGCTTACATTTTAGTAGCCAATAAAATCTTTAGAGTTTAGTTCATCCCACTGTAAGACAAATAAAGTAAGTGGTCCAGTTCTTTCCCTGTGTTGCCTGTTTGTCTTTAAAGACTGTGGAGGAAATGTGAATACTAGCTTAGAATAAACAACTGACCTTTGGGTGACTACAGACAGAGTAGAAAAGTTGAGTCTTCATGTTTTCCATAGGAAATACGTTCATGTGTTTCCTTATGCTTTACACAAGGGTAGAGACAGTCTTTTCCACTGAATTTTAGTGGCAGCATTGGGGTGAACTATTGAAAGAGATGCACAGAAGTCTCAGGTCCCAGTCCAAGAGGTCAAGAATCAGCTGTTCTAAAACTACTTGCATTCAATGTAGCAGCAAAGTGATTGAAAGAAATTATCTAGCTTTTAGAGTGCCCCAGAATCATAAATATGGGAACAGAAGGAGACACATATGTTTCTAAGTGATAATTCATTTGATCCAGGGCTGCTTGGGAACATCATGTTCAAAGTCCTTCCCACTATGTTCTGAAATCCATCCTGTGTGTAGAAAATGCAACCTTTATGGTTTTCATGTTTTGCTGAAGGGATGTAAAGGATTTAAGCCTGTGCAAGCATCCAGTCCTTCACAGCTTTATGAAATCTGTGAAATACATAAGAAATAACTGATGTAACATGACTGCTGGAGACTAAATTCAGTTCTGGCACTTCAGGTAGATTTAAATGGAATGCAATTGATACGGAATTAGCATAATCTAAAAAATAACTTCACTATACTTCTTTTATCCCCTTTCAGAGTAGCACAATACTAATTAACTTCAGTCAAAACAGATCATATTTGCTTCAATGCAGGTGGTCAGCAAATAGTGTTGGGCAAACTATAGCCCGTTGTACATTTTAATGGAACCTTGAAGTGCTCTGTAGCAGCATATGTCTTTGTGTAAAAAACTGCTCTTTAGAAAAAGTTCTTGTTTGGCTGCTGTTTTTTGTCTTTTCTGTAAAATACTCATATCTGAAATCTGTGGAAATCTGGGTTGTGAAATAAGGCTAAAATTGTTACCCACAGAGAGGTAACACAGATTGCTGCTTCTCAGTCTGTGGATGCTAAAGTTGTTTAAGGGTCATTGTTCAAGATTCTTCCTGTATTTTTGAGAGATTTTGGATTTTTTTAAATGCTTTTGGCTGTAGCTTCAAGTTAGTCCAGTCCTGCAGGCATTTCGGTATGACAGGTTTCAGTGTACAGATTACCAAGACATTCCCCGTTATTAAATCCAAGAAAAAGCCAATTTTGTTTTGATTACTCTGTTCCTAAGTCAAAGTGCATGTTTGCACTTTGGCTAGATTTTTATGTGATTTTATTGTCATGTTGGCAGTATAAGCTGGGATAAAGTGTACAGTTTTAACCGTTGTGTTGTAGTTTTGATTTTGAAGCGCTTAAGGTTTTTGGTGGATTTTGGTTTTTTATTTACCTTTGAGTCTTTTTCTCTGACTACAGACAATTCCCTTGACTCTCCCAACAGGTCTATATATGCAGTAACCATGTTCAGGCTCGCCATCAAGTTATTGAGCTTGCCCGTCAGCTCGGTTTCATTCCTCTTGATTTGGGGGCACTGTCATCTTCAAGGGAGATTGAAAACCTGCCTCTGCGCCTGTTCACCCTGTGGAAGGGGCCTGTACTCATTGCCATTAGCCTGGCAACGTTTTTCTTCATCTATTCCTTTGTCAGAGATGTCATCCATCCCTACATGAGAAATCAGCAGAGTGACTTTTACAAGATTCCCATTGAGATTGTCAACAAGACCCTGCCAATTGTTGCTATCACTTTGCTTTCTCTAGTGTATTTATCAGGACTCATTGCAGCTGCTTATCAGCTGTACTATGGCACGAAGTACCGGCGCTTTCCCCCTTGGCTGGACAGCTGGCTCCAGTGTCGGAAGCAGCTTGGGCTGCTCAGCTTTTTCTTTGCCACAGTGCACGTGGTGTACAGCCTCTGCTTGCCTATGAGGAGATCAGAGAGGTACTTGTTCCTCAACATGGCATATCAACAGGTAAGACAGTCTTTAGTTCAATAAGCCAAAAATGCCTTGGCTGGCTGCATATGCCTTCTGAATGCAATAATTGGGTTTTTCTTAATCTGTTCTACTGCTTTTGGCACAAAAGTTATGGGTTATATTATGCATAGGTGGTGCCAGATAAGGAGACTAAAAGAAATATCTGTGCATTTTGCTCACCTTGTGGGTCAATCTGCAGTTAAGTTTGTGTGGTAGGGAGAATCAAGGACATGTCCCACTGCAATTCCTGATAGCAATATACACAAGAAGAATGTAGGATAGACAAGATAAGAGCAAAAGCAGGAAGATTCTGAGGTATGTTCCTTTCTATGTACACTTGCTCATGGGGGAAGTGTGTATATCATAAGTGCATTTACAAATATGAAAGGTATAAGGGCAGATACTGTAATCATGCTTACAGATACTTCTGTGTTCCAAAAAGGAAAAAAAGAAGATGCTGATATTTTGTAACATTTTGGACCAATGTTAAAAACACTTTATGCTTTTAAAATTCTGTGGACATCATCTATTGCAGACAATAGAAATCGACTCACAGTTTCCAGGAACAATTGATCTTGCATAACCCTGAAACATTCTCCAACAGATCTGTCATTGCTAGAAGAGGGTCTGATGTTGTTGTCAGTGGGACAGCTTATTGTAACCTTTAAAGTGGCAGAAAAGCAGCATTCCCCAAAAAACAGCAGTGCCACATAAAATCTGTAGGAAAGAGAGAAGTGGTAGAATGGAAAACCAAATAAGGAAATAAAATAAAATGTAACAAATTAACAGGGAATGTCGCAAACTCTAAAAGATCTAGCATCAAAAACTGAACTTAGGGGAAGGGCAAAACTGTAATAGGCAGCAAGAAACCATAGTTCACGCTTAAAATTAGTAATACTAAAGGATTCACTGGTACTCTTACTAAGAAATTATCTTAGTTTTAATGATACTGTAAAACTTTCACTTGTTAATATTTCTGGTGCACCTTTTTCAAGACACGTCATTTTGCAATAGTTAACCTGGAAGTGGAAAAAATAATTGAATATCTAAGTTTCTTCGTTGTTAAGGTCCTGAATTGTTTGTTTTTTTTCTGGTAAAACTCTCCAGCAAGAACCATCTTGGAAAAATCTGATGGCAATAGTGAAAGAGAGAAGCAAGCCTGGACTCAGCATAGAAAAGCTGAAGGAAATTATGCTAAATTATTTCTAAATGTAATTTTAAAAAATCTAATGTCTAATTTCCAAACTAAAAAGAAATTGCAGGTTTATCCAACTTATGTTACAGAATTTAAGTTTGCAGGGTCTGAAGAACACAGCTCCTGTTCAACAGTGCATAAGAATGTGCAGAATTACCTGATTTTATAACAGTATTGTTGTAAATAGTATATTATGTTACATGTTCTTTTAGCATCTTATCTAAAATTTCCATGTTTAGCATATTTTTAATCTAGCAAAAGCCAATACCAGCAGTAAGGAAATAGTTGTTTTTCTCCAAGGCATGAGGAAACTTCTGAAATATTTGACCAAATTTTATAGTTGTCCTGTGACTGTGAACTTTAAGTCAACAAAATTACTTCTGTTGGTATTTTTGATATTCTTTAGAATAAAGTTCATCCTTTCTGCTCTTTCATCAGGTTCATGCAAATGTTGAAAATTCTTGGAATGAGGAAGAAGTGTGGCGAATTGAAATGTATATCTCCTTTGGAATAATGAGTCTTGGATTGCTTTCCTTGCTGGCAGTAACTTCCATCCCTTCAGTAAACAGTGCCTTAAACTGGAGGGAGTTCAGTTTTATTCAGGTGTGTTACTTTTTTAATAAGGGGGTTTTGGTGTTAACAAGAATTCCTTCATCACAGTCATGATCAACATCATAAACAAAAGCTCCTTGCAATGTGACAAGAGCCTTTTTTCCTCTGTCTCTGGTAATTCAGTAAAAGCAATTACTTAGCAAATATGTTACCATGAAGGCACATTAAGCATTTCATGAGTGTAGAACAGGACTTTTTGTTTTATACTTCTTGATCTTAAATAACCAACATAGCTAAGGCCAAATGATCACTAATCTATTCATTTTCTGTTCTTAGAACTTCTTGCTAAATTCAAATTAGATAAATTTGGACAAACCTGCTAAATGCAGTGATACTGATGAGATACTTGTGTAGTTAGATGCACACAGCTATTAAAATTGAAGACTTAGTTTGCCGTGCAAGATTTTTATTGCACAATCCTCTGACAGCCATGGTGCCATTGCTTAAGTTTTACTTCTCATCCACTGTGGGACTTGACACAGCTTTCAACTGCATTATTCCCATTAACTGAAAATACCCACTAGTAAAATATGGAGCGTTGCTTATTAAAATCAGAGACTTTTCAAGGCCCTGGCACACCATCTGCTGCCTTCCTTCCTCAGGTAAATACCTTGAACATGCAAATCTAACCAGCATAAAATACTGAGAAACACAGGCTTTAATGAACAGCTCAGTGCTTGCTCCTACACATAACTGCCAGTATTTCTAGGAAGCAGTCAGGTATAAGAAATTTTATTAGGATTCAGTTGGGTGAAAATTCCTAAGTGTGCATAGCTTTTGGGTTTGTTATGTTTTGTTTTCTGACTATTCTGAGTCCTGTTCATTTCAGAATGTGAGCATTGACTTTAAAGTTCAGGGCTTGGGTTGCACTTCATAATTTACAGATATTTTGAAGAGAATGGTGGGGAACACTTCAAAGGCTGTAGTTGTTTGGCATCTGTCTGTGATGTCTTTTCTTTTCCTTCTGATTTCCATTACTGGAAAACTGTAGGTAGACCTACAAAAAGTTTGCTGAAAAGTTTTTCATAGTGGAGTTACCCTGATAGAATTGTTTATTCACAGTCATGGCTTTAAACCTTCAGAGAGACTGAATACTCAAGTGTATTGTTACAGTATCTCTGCCATCTGGAGTTCTCTGTGTGGGGACAATAGTACTGCTGTTGGGTGATATAAAACATTAGTGCAAAAGGGAAAAATATTTATTCACTTGTGAGTGACGTGATGCCTTTACCCAGTAATAACTTCCAGCCACAAAAACAGCATTTTTGTCTTATTTTTCCTTACTCATATTTCAAAATTTCAGGCTTGTGTGACTGAGTCAAAACCCACACAATAATCACAATGATGGATCTAGAACTGCATATTTACTGTAGTTATTTCCACTGTAAATTAAGTCAAAATAGTTCCAAATCTAAATAATTATGAACTTTAATGGCCCATCTGTCAGTATTTTGAGAAACTTGTTTGGGAAGAAGTTGTTTGCTCAGGATGTATGTTACAGTTCATACTCTATTATGTGCAGAAGATAACTGGTATTGGTAACAAACTAAGATCATTTGCAATTTTTAATCACAAAAGTATTGAACTACTAAAAAATTTCTTAAAGTTAATGAGTATTTACTTTGTCATTAATTCTCAGGATGTAAGTTATTCTCCATTTAATTACTTGTAAAAAAAAATCTTGCTTTCTTCAATCAGAAAACAGACTTTCAGTGATTGCTTACTAGAGTAAAAGAAGTCTGTATTTCTGTATAAGTGTCACTGTCCCCAGTATGCAAGGAGAACAGATAAAACATTATAATGCTTACTCTCTTTTATGTTTTTCTTCTACTGAAGTTTAGTTCAGTGAAGGAAAATTAAACTTAAATTTCTCAATCTTTTCTGTGTCAGGGGGATAAACAGTAGAACTACTAACCTATCATCCCATTGCTGCTTTTCCTTTCAGTTGGGGAAAGCAGTATGTCTCTAGCTTAATCCTGAATCTCAGATTATTTTCCACAACAGCTGCTGGACTTGTTTCACATCTGACAGATGAAGAATCAGTTGGTCAGCACACTCAGACTGTGTCCCAGCTCAGCACTTCCCACTGAGAACAGCACATTGCTTGCTCATCTTAAAAAATGTAGTTTCATCAAAATAAGGGTGTGGCCTCTTCTAAATAGTTTTACCACAAGAACATAGTCTTGAATCCTACTAGGAAAATCTGAGTTTATTAAAATGTACAGTATAGACTAGCCTTGTTCCAGTAGAACAAGCCCTAAGCAGCATGTCCCCAACCTACAGCAGTTCAAAGAGTCTTCAAACACAATCTTCCTAATACTCTAAAGAATCACCAGTTGCCAGTAGTTTTGCACAGAATTGCTGTCTTTGATATCCCAAATTCTTTTGGAGATGCCTCCATCTTACCTAGCCTGGTTTCAAACACAGGTGTCAGCAGCTCCAAAAATCCCAGCCTGCTTTATCAAGGGAAAAGGACTTTGAGAGGACAAGCAGTGCATGCTTCACTCATAGTATGCATATGAACAAAGTGAGATATGAGAAGGCTTAATAGTGCAACAGGAAATTACTGTGTCAGTCTTAGAAAGAGCTAAGAGACCAGCAGAAAAGAGGAATTGCTACAGTACAGAGTTGACCCCTGTACAAAACAAAGGTTTGATTACTTCATCATGATTTGGAGAGAAACACTGGTAACATCCAGATAGAGGAGCCAGAACGAGACAGTGATGAAGTTTTCTCAGTAGGAGATCCTGGATGACTGAAACTTAGTGTGGAACTTTGCAGTCACGTTAACATAACCCAGAGCTGAAGTTAACTGAGAAAACAGCAGCAAAGAAAGCTGGGGCTGATAAACTAATGCATCCATTTTCTTAAATGCCACTTCAGTATTTTTCTTTTTCTCATCTAAATATATTGGATAAGGAGCAAAGGAAGACATGGGCAAGAAATACAAAAGAGTTTGTATTTTGTCAGAGCAGGCAGAATAAACAGCTTAAACCAACACACTGTAAACAGAAAAAAAGACATTTATTGAAACCAGTCCTTGACTGTGCACATAAAATACAAGGAAATGGAGAATGTTGTCTGCAAGCTATCCTGCACTGGGTCCTTCAGTCTAGTGAGGAAAGTTAAACTGTAAATATATAATGTAAACATAAATGACTGCTGCTTTTGTTTTCCAGTCTAAGGCTTCAAGTCCAAACCCCATCATTTAAAGTGGCAATGAACAGAGCAGATTGGTTTTGAAAATTGAGCTTCATGTTTTTTAGCAAAAAACAACACAAATCTGCCATTTGAGTGGTAGGAAGCTGACTTTTTTGTAGCTATTCCTTTTCTCTGCTAGCCCAATCCTAAAGTTTTTTGGAGGCAGTGTGAGTAAAATATTTCTCATGCATACACTTTGAGGAAAGGCTGCCCTGCCATAGTTCTCCCACTAATAATAGGATGCTTTTTCTCCAGAGTAAGGTAGACTAAGGCCTGAGTGTTTAGCAAGTTTGTGGGTAAGATTCCAGTCAGAAGTTATTACAAACAGTTTTTAAGTTTAGCAATAGCTGTTACACAGAGAATCTGAAGTGTATCTTGCATAAATGTTGAATTTAGAAAATACCTTTTGTATATAAAAATTGCTTGGAACTACTTGACCATTGTGAATGTGGAAATTCCTGAAGCAGAATTGCCTCACAGCACATTTTGTCTCTAAATAGGTTCATCTTGCTGGTAACATTTTAGGATTTTTTCTCTTTCATCTTTCCTGCTCCATTAAGTTTTGTTGGTTCCTTTCTCAAACAATACCAGTTTGTCCAATTTATCAGTAGCCTTGGCTGGAAATCTCCCATATTGGCTAAAAGCTGACTTTGATCAGGAAGGAAAAGAAACAAAACAGGGAGGACTTAGAGAAAAGCTAAAAGATTTGGGAGTTCATAGGAAATGTGCTTATCTATTACTCAGCTTTCAGGAAACATAGTATTATGGAAGATAAGAAAACAAGGCAGCCAAAGATACTCTTCCACTTTTCCCTGCAGCCATCCTAAAGCCCAGACAGAGGGTTGCCAGGAATTACAACTGATTTTTCTGCTCACTGTACTGTTCAATGTGAATTTACCAGGGAAGAAACAGTATTTCTTCTTGCTGCTTTCAGAAGTCCTCTACTCTTAAAGAAATTATCATCTGGAGCCTGGTAATGGTAATGAAGGGCCCAGTTGAAGAACATAGCTGACATTGATAGCTGACAGAAGCTATAGCAATGTCTTTGTTTTAGATGTGTAGTTGAATTGTGCAGTACACACTAGCACATGCTCTACCAACACTTCAGAGAAGCATATGGCAACTCTTCACAGGGCAAGAAAAAAAAGAACTTACTAAAATTGCATCATATATTTTTCTTGTCCTTTTATTGGTAGTTTAAAATATACTGGATGTACTTCTTAGTTTCCATTTTGACCATTAGATAGACATATATAGATGTCTTAAAACTATAGCTAGCCAATGGAATTAAAATAAGCACTAAAACTAAATAATTGGAAATGAATGTATATTTCCCTTCTGTTTGTATTTTCAAGAATTGTTATATTTCTCATCAGTAATCCTGATGAGGAAATGAGGGATATGATTCACTTGTGCCCTTCTCCCTGCTGCCAGTAATATAACAATTCAGGACAGTCATACCAACAAAAATCTGCAACAACATATTATAACATCAGGTTTGACTGTATTGTTTGTTGTCCAAATTTCTTACCAGAAGTTCCGTTCAGATACCACATATGCCATTTTCATATCCTCGAGTGTTTGTCTAAATGTTCTGTTTACTATGGGATATTTTGGGAACATTTTTTTTTTTTAAGAAAAAGTATGCAGCATATCTAAAGATTAACAAAATGGCCCTGAAAGCATTGGCAAAAAGAACCCATAAATATTGGAAAATCAAAAAACAGGGTAGCAATCCCAAGAAATTAACAGAAATACTTTCTTTTTATACCATTATATCTGTGAATCCTTGCAAATAGTATTAGCTCAGACATTCTTCTTGCTTTAGAAGCTGCTTAATCTTGAAGTAGAAGGAATTAATTCTTTCACTACCTATTATAGACTCTTAGGCTGCATTTTTCTTTGCTTGTCTGTTTGCTGGAATTAGACCATACCTTGGTAGCCAGTTACCTTTCTTAATACTTGTTCTATGTTTCAATGATTTTCTACAAATGTTTCCCAACCGAGTTAGTCTTTACATCAGTTTTGGCCAGAAAGAGTTTTCCTTCATTTGATCCCCACCAGAAGTCAAAGCATAGAAGTCTTCTTTTTTCATGGTTTGGGAAAGTTAAGTTGATGCCTTGTCAAATCTGCGAAGCATTACAGCTACAGGGTCCTTAAAAAGGTGGATTCACAGAATTGCTGAGTGATCCCTGCTATCTCCAGCTTCTGTGGCAAGCTCTATATTTTTGTGCTGAGAGGTCCTTCCTCTGCAGGCTGCTGTGGGAACCCTCTGTTTCACCTTTTATCCAGCTCTGCTGGTTTATGGTAGACTGCAGCACTGCTTTGTGCTGTCATGGCCAAGGCCTGCAGTTCAGATATTCCCATTAAACACTCAGCAATAACTGAAGGAGAAGGCAAGGGATGGTTTATGCTCACATCAGACAAGTGACAAGTGGATGTAGGCCTTTGTGAGACAGAAGTAAGCTGTGCATCTCAAAGTGATAGAAATATGCAAGTTTAGGCCCAAATCCCTTCCAAGAGAATTGCATTGTTCCATAGTAAGGAATCTTGGAAGTGGTCTATCCTCATCATTAAGAATTAGGAAACTTAATTTCCAATCACAATGAATATTGTTCTAGTAACTACTCTGGAATCGTTTCTTATTGGCATACCTATCCTGAAGTTGGCTTCCATTACTTAGAATTTGGGCAGACATCACTTCAGCTTTGACTAAGGCCTGTAGATGTTAGCAGAGGTACTCTGTAAATCAGTGCTCAGTTCAGTCAGTAAATTTCAGAGTGGTAACTTAAAACCATATATTGCTAACTTCATGTAGTGAATAGGTAAGAGATCTTAACTTGATGTCTAATAGAAATGTTAAAATAATCCACATAATGTATTAAAGCTGTCAGGTGAAGGACCAAGTGCTATTATGTCTTTTATTTTTCCTGTTTTCTCTTTCTTCACAGTCTACACTTGGATACATTGCTCTGCTTATAAGTACTTTCCATGTACTGATTTATGGATGGAAGAGAGCTTTTGAAGAAGAGTATTACAGATTTTATACACCACCAAATTTTGTTCTTGCCCTTGTTCTGCCTTCCATTGTAATTGTAGGTAAGATCATCGTACTTTTGCCATGTGTAAGTAGAAAACTGAGGAGAATTCGAAGAGGATGGGAGAAAAGCCACGTTATAGAAGAAGTAAGTGGGTCTGTTCCACATCTCTCCCCAGAAAGGATAACTGTAATGTGATGATATTTGTTAACACTGTTGTACATGTTTGGGCTTTGGGTTTTTTTGTCTATGTCAAATAAATTTTTAGGATTTAGTTAAGTAGGAGTCTTTGTAAAGTCTCTTGCTTGACATATAGTACAAGCTCTTAACCAAACTATGAGAAGTTTATAACTAGAAGACAACTATTTCTGATAACTACAAAAATATTTTTGTTTTAGATTACAGAGGGCAGATGATTATGAAATAAAAAAAAATAATGTTCCTTTGCACAGTTATATCACAATAATATTTTATTAGAACCAGGCTTTACAGATATTTTTTTGCCTTAGAGTATATGTGTCAGAGTGCTGCTTATTAATATGACATTTTCTGGGCAGTGTTTTTCTATTAAAACCACATTTCTGGGGTTAATGAGTTCAGAATATAAAGTAAATTATTTAGGAAATAACTAGGGTTTGAAAGAAATTAATTTGTAATGATCACAGAGTAGTTTGAATTGGAAGGGCCCTTAAGACCAGTAAGTTCCAATGCCCCTGTCATGGGCCTTGACAACTTTCACTAGACCAAGTTACTCAAAGCCCCATCCACCCTGGCCTTGAACACTTCCAGGGATGGGGCATTCGCAACTTCTCTGGACACCCTCTGCTAGTGCCTCACCACCCTCATAAAGAATTTCATCCAAAAATCTAAATCTAAACTGACTCTCATTTAGTTTATAGCCATTCCCCTTTGTCCTGCCATTGCCCTCTCCAGCTCTCTTGTAGGCTCCCTTCAGGAACTGGAAAGCTGCAGTCAGGTCACCCCTAAGCCGTCCCTTCCAGGCTGCACAAAGCCAATTCTCTCCCCCTTTCCTCACAGGAGAGGCTCCCCAGCCCTCTGACCATCTCAGGGGCCCTGCTCTGGACTCCAGCAGGTCCCTGTCCTTCCTGTGCCGGACCCCAGGGCTGGGTGCAGAGTTCCAGGTGGGGTCTCTGTCCCAGAGCAGAGCAGAGGCACAAAACCTCCCTGCCCTGCTGCCCAGGCTGCTCTGGGTGCAGCCCAGGGCACGTTTGGCTCTCTGGGCTGTGAGTGCCCATGGCTGGGTCATGTCCAGCCTCTCACCCACAGCACCCCCAGGTCCCTCTGGGCAGGGCTGCTCTCAATCCCTTCATCCCCAGCCTGGATGGACACTGGGGGTTACCCCAGCCCAGGGGCAGCCCCTTGCACTTGGTCAAGTGTATTGCACATGTACAGTATATTTATTTGTGTGTGGTTTTACACCATTACATGATTGGAATATGCAAACCCAGTCTCAATTATGGTGTGACATCTTGTAAGCAAAGGGTATTGTACTAAACTTGTTTTTTCAAAGTATTAAGTAGGATTTTAGACCTTTGGCATCTCTTTATTTCCATACATCATATAATGAAGATTCAAAACATTGCTATACATTTATAGGAAGATACGTGTGTAAACTAGTTTTTGATTTTTTAATGACTTTGAAATATGTGGAAATATTTTAAAACAAAAAGAAAAGCTGAGAATTCAGCAACAATAAAAATCCATTTTCACTGTGAAACTTCCAATATATTGGAAGCATCACAATACTCATGTTCTGTATGTGTCTACACTGGAGTTTTAGTTATTATATATGAATTTCCCAGAATGTGTCTTAAACTCTTAGTATCTTTTTGTGCAAATCCAATCTTCTATTTTTATATAAAGGTCTAACTTTTACAAGTGTCTCTGGGATATGCCTGAAGTTTTGAGAAACCAAATTATGATTATATTTAAAAATCTCTAAACCCTGACATTTGCATTTACTGTTGGATTCTAAATAATGTTCACAATTGCTTATTACTACTGCTGTGTCAGTAGTACTCTTCTCTAACAAAACAACCAAACTCGGCTCATACCTTCAGGCTGCTACTGCTTAATTAGCAGAACTTCTATTACAGTGAATCAGATTGTGTATTTGGTTCTAATTTTCTTGTATTAAATTATATTTTCTCTTACCTATATTTGCACTGCTTAAAATCTCAAATTTTTTTAGCTGAACCTTCTCTTCTTATTTATTGCTTTGAAAGAATTTGTCCTATCATGTATCAGAAATATATAGAATTAAGCTTGAATTTATCCTTAAACATCACTGGTCCTGTAAATCTCATTATCTCTGCTTGTAATGAAATTAAGAGCTTCACAGAAAAGAAGATTCTAGAATCAAACTCTGCCCCCAGTTATGCCAACCTAAGCCTAAAGAATTCCTGTTAGTTGTTCTTAAATTAATTTAAAATCCAAAATATCCACAACTATTTTATTTTTATTCTAGTATCCAGATTCCCCAGACTTACACATCAACCCTGAGTATATTCTGGGTTTGTTGCAAAATGAGAGACAGTTGAACTTCCTTTCACTTTAAGCATGTTCAAATCTAGAGATGAAAAATAAAATACTTTAATGATGTGTTTTCAGAATTAAAGTATTTTTCTATGTCTTTAGACATGTTTTGTATTGAATAAGAGGCCAGTGGATTCTTGAAAAGGGAGGTTTGTGAATACATATTTTAAAAAATACAACTGTTATATGGGTCAACAGATATTTGATACTTTATTTTAGTTCACAAATTTTCAATTTCAAGTAGTTGGAAAGCTCAGATTTATCCTCCTTTCTAAGCCTTGGGGAGGAGTCAGTTGTAAGGAAAATAATTAATTTTATTTCACCATTTTTGGAAAAATAAATTATAATAACAGCATTAATTGGTCAGGCTTTGAGAGTTGTCTCCAGTAGCTGACAAGTGGTAGATGCTTCTAAAAAGAAAGCAAGTGTCCAGTGATTTTTTTTCCTAACACAACTTCTCAACCTCTTGGAAGTCAATTATTTTGGGTTTATTCGAGACAGGTGCTGCCTCTAGATTGCTGTATTTAATAGCTACATTCTCAAAAAAATTATCAAGGATTTCAGAAATATGAAACTCTCCTATTTTTTGAACAGAAAAATAAGGAAGGAAAAAAAGGTTCAACAAATCTATCAAATAAATAAATAAATAAATATTTGTATTCTTTCTTTTTTCCAAAACCAAATAAGTTTGTTTTAGGGTATTTATTTTATTGTTCCTCCTTCAATATGCAGCTATTTCAGTGAGACTGGTGGTGATGTACAAGTACAACACTTTTTTACCAAACATTCTAGACTTAACTGAAAACCCTGTTGCTGCTGGAGACAGGAGCCTAAACTACTACAAATGAGATTTTCACATAAAAATGAAGAACAAGTAACAATTACAACTTCTAACCTAGCTTTGTCTGTAATGGCATTCCAAAAGGTGTATATTTCTTAAAAGACTTGTAGAATTGAATGTCCTGGACTGTTTCCTATTTCATTAATGCAGAGTGAAACCACACAAACTTGAAGCATTGTACTTCATTCCTTTAAATAAAATTAACTTTTAAAATCTTAGAACATAATAAATCTTGGATAATTTTAATGGGATAAATACCACTCTACGTTCTACCCAGTCCTGCATGGGAAACCTAATTAAAATCACTAGAAGGGGCTGGTATAACTGAGAGTAGAATTTCATACCTCTGAACAGATTTAGGCAGAAAGTGTTGACATTGACAATCTGACTACATTTGAAAATTAAATATGCTGCTATTATTTTAGAGTAATTTTACATTTCTGTGGAATATGTAGTTAACATTCACGTTCCCTACAATTATTTAATTATTTTGATACAAGAGTGATAATGTTGCAGAACTATGATATTGTACTAACTGAAAATTACTGTCAAAGGCCATAGATGTTGTACTGTAATGCATCCACTGACAGTATATACAGAAATGTATTGGCCCTCTTTCCTATGCAAAAAGTTACTTCATCATTAAATTTCTTCAACAGCGATTAAACTGCTACATTATAAATTGCCAAAGATATCTGGAGAGAATAATGATGAGTCATTCTTATTTAAAACTGTGTGTAGAAAACTAAAAACGTGTTTTAATTTTATATGTTACTTGAAAGGTTGAAATATTGAAGTACTACTAAGTAGACAATATTTTTAGATCAACTATATGAAGAGATTTTGTGAAATATTTGTGCTACAAAAGTGACACATGGTTTCCTGTTAGGCCATGTGTCTAACTGGAAACTTCTACTTCTAACTGGAATAGCATGTTGACTTGTTATTTAATATTTTGTAGTGTTCTTTAAGGACCAGTTTGCTCTAACAAGACACTGTTAAGCCTGAAGGTAAACAACACTCATGCATTTAGCAAACTTTATGTCCAGCATATGTTTAGTCCCGCAAGGCATCTTTATTCATATGACCAAACACATTGATTTCTATAAACTCACCATAGGCTTCTCATTGGAAAAATACCTGAGGTTAATTGTTTAGTTTAGATTGCCTAAATATAAACAACTAAATTCATTTAGACATCTTAGTTACTTAGGAGAATAAATACGTATTTTGGGGAATAGTTGCTATAAAATTATTTTTGTGTAGCTTTATATAAATTGCTTAACTGTCTAATGAAAATAAGTAATCAAATAAGCCTAATTTCTCTTAATTATTGTATAGTTTAAAAAAATAGAGCTTAATATGTGATACAGAATTGTACACGTATTATGAAATGGAGACTTCTATGTATTTAGCAACAGGTTATTTCTTTCCATGGATATTAAGGTGTTCTTTATTAACACTGTCTAAAACTGTTCTATCATAGGTTCCATGTGTCTAATTTTATCTTAAAATTCTCTTAGCTGTTGCAACTATGTACAAGTTAATTAAGTGCACATGTTCTTGAATTATTTAGAGTTTTTGATTTAGAGATTAATTATTTTGTAATTGTTTTGCAAGTTCTTTAGCTTGTGGTAATGGTTACTGTGAATTGTTGCCACATTTAATTTTTTGTTCCAACAGTGTAAATTATATGATGTGCCATGAATATTTTTATTTGTCATTAATTGCCTATAAAAGAGTGTGTGTCTATGTTTGTGTCTGTATGGTATTAGCTGCCCAACTGACATTAAAGGAAATGGTTAATTAATATAAGGCAATGAGTTCCCCAGTGGCAGTAAATTTCACAGGTATGAATACAGTTAGGAAAGAGCTTTCCTGTGAAAGTTAGTTATATCAGGTGCATAAAAACTAGATAGATTGAATTTTTCAGTGTTAATATTTTCACATATGCAGTGGTAATGAATGCATATGCATAGTTCCTTGCAGACAGTGCATCTCCTAATACACAAGGTTTTGAATTCTTGGCTGTTCATCCTGTAGTATTTTCTGTCAATATAATGAATAATGTTGCTGTACTGATATTGTATCACCATGTGATACTGCTTGAATTAATTAGATTACAGCCTTTAAAATAAGTGACACATTTAACTGACTTAAACAATGATCTCTGTCATTATATATTGTTTCTCATGCCTTGTTGGCAGTGTCTTACAGTAAGCATAATATGTCTCCCATGTGTAATATTCTCTTTGTAGTTGTGTTTGTCAGACTGTTTGTGCTGTCTCTCTGAACAGGGCTATTATAAATTATTAGTAATGCTCTTATCTATTTTTCCACAGACTGTGTTTTACACAAAAATCAATAAAAAATCAATGTAAGGTATTTTGCTTTTTCTTCTGTGCTTGTGCAGAATAAATTTTATCTTGTGTTTCTTTCTAATACATGGGTGCTCCGATCAACATTTTCTCTGAGAGATAAAATTTGAATGTGTGTTCATAAAAATATTCTAAGGGCAGTTTATTTCTTTTATTACAGCTTTTTCACACAGACACACTGGATAGCTATATCCCTAATCCTACTCTAAGTTTTCTCCATGCTTTCAGATACAGTACTATCAGTATATATTCAGTCCACTTTTCATTCAACAAAATGTTTGGCCACGATGAGATTGCTAGGCACCAGTATGTTTGCCAAGTGTCCTGTTGTGTGTATGAAATAGAATTACTCTTCAAATGAAACAAACAGGTGAAGCACTTTGCAGTCTTTCTTTTGGAAATACATAACCTTTTTTCTAAGAGGCTTATGCTAGCAGAAGAAGAAAACAATACATGAGAGGTGTAATGCTGCTTACCTGTCCATGAGCAGCATAAACTGTTCTGAGTTCAGAGGAGTAAAGATGCATGGGTCAGTGGAGCTGGCAGCATTTCCATTGCTTTCACATTAGGTTACATAGCCTTCCCAGACTCCCAAATGGAATATAGGTGTTTTTAAAATTCAGAACATTTAATATTGGTAGGTGACATGCCTAACCTAACAGTAACATTTTGGACCTTCAAGTCTTTGTTTTCTTGGCTTCTATCTTTTTTAATCTCTCCATTTCTCTATATCTCAGTGCTTGTTCTACTGAATGTTGATATCGTGCCAGCAGCTGGGGCCCCAAACTTACACCCTTCTCCAGGCTTACCTTGTACTGCACAAGAGTGTAAGTTCTGAGTCCTGTGATTTACTGTGTTTCCTTACAGTAATAAAGATCAGTGTGAAAGTTCCCCTCAATTTCACACCACTCCATGACCTCAGCACTGTATTTTAATAGTACAGGTAGGTAAGTCCAGATGTTGGAAGCTCTGTTGACTTGACAGGTTTAAGGTTGAGTTTAACTCAGCCACTGCCAGCCACTTCAAAGGTCTTTTCCTTTTATTCTGTGAATATCAAACATAGAAGGTCTGTCAGGACAGACAAAAAAAAATGAAAGGAGGATGAAAAAGAAGTTGAGGAGTCAACAGACTTAGAAAGAATCTTAGAAAGATTCTGTACTTTAAAGACCTCAGTGTCATATTTGATAAAGAGTGCAGGTGGCTTTGGAAAGAATCTACATGTTGAATATAGCCAAGAAAAGGACATCCCTTGACTAGGAGCTGAAGACCCCCATGCAGCACATGAAAGATAAAAACTGAATAATAGTCCCTTAAAAGCTCACAACTTATTTTGTAAAACAGCAAATACTGAGTGCTAGGGGAAATAATGCACTCAGCAAAGTCACCAGGAGATTAATGGCAGACCTAGATAGGTAACCTTGATCTTCTAACACACAGCTGTGTTCTACACACAGAGTGCTGTGGTTTTATGAAATTTAAGTTTTATCTCAAGAACAGAGTTTGCTGAACTATGTCTTCACACCAAAATAGTTTGTCCTCAGTCAAAACAGAAATCCTCTTTACATCAAGCCTACGTTTTTAACATATTTCTTAGCATTTGTAAGACTTAAAATTCAATACTCTCCTAAGTAAGGCGTTGGTGTCTTGAATATTTTCATCACCAATGGAAGAACTAGATGTGATAAAAATACAATATAAGCCTATTTAGGGTTTATTAACTTTTGAGTAAATATTATCACAGTTGATTGCATGATTTTGAGCATGGCTGTTTTCTATTTGCTACAGGTAGCAGAATCCCTGTTGTCAAACTTGCATAATGTAGCTTTTATCCTAAATTTTAAAAGCTTCATTTTGAAGAAGGTGCACAGTGAGCAAATGGAGCTTTGCAACATGATCTTTGGAACAGTGAGCCAACAAGTGCCATGTGACTTAAGCTTATAATTTACAGACTAAGTTGCCCAATTTAGGTATATTCTCTATACATTTGTCATTCAAAACATGGAACATGCAAACTTGAAATCACTTAGGCAACAATAGAAATAAATGTAAGCAGTTTTTCTAATATAAGCTTTAAAACTTTGAATACATACAACTTCAGTTCCTATCTTGGCACCAAGAGAAAAAAAATATATATAAATCAGCTTTTTCAGCTAAATGCCTGGAGACATACAAGCATTGTCAGCCCTTTTAATCTCAGATGCTTAATAGAAAATCTTGTTCCATCCAGTATAAGCCTGAATACAATACAGAATGTTCACAGAAACAAATACTTAAGTAGAACATGGAAGGGCCAGTAAGGTGGTTATAGTAATGGAGAGATGTGTGTACATGGATGGATGAAGAGTGTCAAACACCAGCTCCAAGGCTGGCAACTGCACTGTCACATCGTGTGAGGCCACTTTACAAATGTGCTACAGCCCTGCCTTTGTATGACCTGTTTTCGGTGATCGCAGCTCAGGATGTCATGGATGTCAAAGGATCCATTGCATTTTCTACATTCAGAGTCCTTTACTATGCTAGGCTGGAATTTTGCCATCATTTCAGAGTTGCATACAGGATGAATTTCTACTAAATGCAGAGAGTACATGGGTATTTTTGTGTATACACAAATACACAATATTGTGTATTTTCCCTTTGATGAAAAGAGAACTCTATAGCATGTATGAGTACTAAATATGAGATGCACCTTATTTTTGCAGAAGCCAAGTATGAAATGGGAGAGATGTAGCATGCAAGCTGGGAAAAATGAAAATAAGGACTGTGTTGGTTATAGTTGGAGCCACAAAGTTGTCTTTCTTGATTTTTATCAATCACTTATTTTCTTATAAAAGCTAACTGTTTAAATCTCCAGATATGTTAGCATTTAATAAATTTATTTGCATATGCAAATATTTGTTTGGAATCACTGTAGTTAATTATTCGTCAATGAACACCGAGGTTGGCACTGAAAACTCGGGATATGTGCATATCCAATGTGATATATGTGCAACTTGCCCCAGGTGTGTCGCGATCCAGGAATGGCAGCTGAAGTGAGCAGTCCAGTAGAGTACCTGTGGGCACACCGAGCGCTGGGTTGTCCTTGAATCTCAGCTGTCAACTAAACCTGAAACAGCTGCCCACTGTTTGCTAGTAGAAGATACCTGCATCCTCTCACTATTCTGTCCCGGTTTTTATTACTTTTTTGTAGCAGTCTATGCACAGAAAACTTTTGCCATTTTTCCAGCTGCCAGGCTGCCCCAGTCTGGGGTTTGTCGTGGTGGCATCTCATGGAGGGTTTTTTCACTATTACTTGTTATGGACCCACCAGCCTCTTCCCTTCCAGCTGCCCAGCATCTAGACGGGGTGGGGAATGGTTTTCTCACAGACAGCAGCCCGCGAAGTGCCATTTCTGGCCGGGGGGCGGAGAGCCGGAGCAGCGGCAGGCGGCAGAAGGGCCGGGCCGGGCCGGGCCTCGGCACCGCTCCCATGGCAACGGCCGGGCCGCGCTGCCGCCGCGGCGGAGCCGCCATGGCCTCGCTGGCCGCGGCCGAGCCCCCCTCCCCACGGGCGGCCTCCCGCTCCCCGGCCCTCGGCCCCTCTCGCAGCGGCAGTGAGAGGCGCTCGAACGCTGCGGACCCCGCTCAGGTGAGCTCTCCCGCGGGCAGGGGCACCTCCAACTGGCCCGGTGCTGGCCCGGCCCTGCCCTGCCCTGTGCCCTGCCCTGCCCTGTGCCCTGCCCTGTGCCCTGTGCCCGGCCCAGCCCTGCCCGGCCCGGCCCTGCCCTGTGCCTTGCCCTGTGCCCTGCCCTGCCTGGCCCTGCCCTGTGCCCTGTGCCCTGTGCCCTGCCCTGCCTGGCCCTGCCCTGTGCCCTGCTCTGCCCTGCCCTGCCCTGTGCCCTGTGCCCTGTGCCCTGCCCTGCCTGGCCCTGCCCTGTGCCCTGTTCCCTGTGCCCTGCCTGGCCCTGCCCTGCCCTGTGCCCTGCCCTGCCCAGCCCTGCCTGTGCCCTGTGCCCTGCCCTGTGCCCTGCCCTGCCCTGCCTGGCCCTGCCCTGCCCTGTGCCCTGCCCTGCCCTGCCCTGCCCTGTGCCCTGTGCCCTTTTCCCTGTGCCCTGCTCTGTGCCCTGCCACGTGTGTGCCCTGCCCTGCCCGGCCCTGTGCCCTACCCTGCCCTGTGCCCTGCCCTGCCCTGTGCCCTGCCCTGTGCCTGCCCTGCCATCTTTCTCATGCTGAGAGCAAACCCCTATGTGTGCTTGAATTTACCCATCCCTGAGTAAATTCATGTTGGTTTAACGCGGCTATTTCACATTTTAAAATCCTTAAAAACAAAATTTCAAAATCGATTTAAAAGAAAAGGTTAAAAGTGTTGTTTTTTCAGGATGCACAGTCGAGGTCAGTGGATTTGAATCACGTCATCCTACTACTCGGAGATTCGAGCTCAGTAAGTAACCCTGCTTCCTCGCTGTCTCTGTTACACACATGGTAATGGGGTTTTGACAAATTTTTTGTTCAGTGACTTTAGCACCCACCCTGAATAAACTCAGATGGGTTTATTATATCCAACACAAGTGGCTGGAGCTACAGAGCACAAAGATGAGTATTTCTTCTGATATTTGAATGCTTCTAAAGATGATAATTTTTATTTTTAAAAATGATGTCAATTATTGATTTTTGTTTAAAAAATACATAGAGAAAGAGAAGATCACACAGGAACTTAAAAAAAAAGACAAAGGCATGAGCATTCAAAAACTAGACATGCAGAATTTCTAGCATATTTTAGAATTTTAGAGTACTGAAACCTATAGCTGGGAAATAGATGTACACAGAACCTTATTAAAAGTATGCCATGAATTTATGTAATTGCCCAAGTTAAGTGCTAATAGTTCTCCAGGGAGATGATTTTAAATGAAGGTGAAATATGCAAAGGTCAATGTTGAAGAATAAATACAACTACCTACGCATACAGGAGTAGCATCATCTCTCATGGGCTTTCACAGGTGATTTTTAGTCTCCACAAGATTATTTGGCAGATTAAACTCACTAAGCCATCAAATAATTTTGATCCAAAATATGGATAATTTATGCTCTTAAACAAGGACCTGATTAAACCTAGCACATTTTAAATTAATGCCCCACAGAGAAACAGTTATTTCTTACCTCTTCCCCTTTTTTATTACAGAGCTGATATAATAAACTTACTGAATGAAGGAAAACTGCCAGATGTTATTGTTTACTGCTTCTGTAGATATGATATGTAGATATGATAAAATTCCTGTGGGATTCTGGGCTTGTAGAGTCCTGAAACAACTTCCTGGCCTGCCTCAAGTTGCAGGTGCTCAGGAGAGCCGAAATGAAAGCTGCACATCACTGACACAGCCTGGCATATCCTCACTTCAGTTGTTTTCAGCTTTGGATTTGAAGGCTGTTTCCTAGTGGTGTAGAGCACTCTAAGCCACATAGATCTACATGCTTACACATTTATGTTGTGTGTAACATAGGTTTGGTTTTCTTAGCTGCTTTACAAAGAATCACAAAGAATTTAAGAGAAAGAGTCAACACGTTTGAACAGGAGTTTTTGAGAGCCTCTTCAGTTACAACAGAACAGACTTCATACTTAGAAATGAGGGCTTCATCATGGAGTTAATCCTGCTTCAAAGCACTTTGAGAATTTTGTTGTGTCTTGTAAACTTTCAAATCTGGTTTCCACTTTCATTTAAACTTAAAGGGGCATAAACATGATCATTTAAGGTTCTTGGGCAAACTGCAATTAAAACCAGTTTTTCATTCTTTTATTTAAGAAAGATTTGGAAGAAGAGCAGCTGAAAACTCTGAAGAAGGTAGTCAAGCATTTTGAAAATGGATTTGTATCCTTTTTGCCACTTTAGAATTCTAAAGTCATGGTGTTTTCTGTATGATAATAGTCTGACTTTTCAGTAAAGCATTTGATGCTGTACTGTGCTTCCCTGTGGAGAATAGGGATATACATTCTCATCACTGGCCTCCTTGTGTGCACACTGCCAAGGTTGGCAGGTTGACAAGATTCTTGGATATTAGATTCATTTGTCACAAATTTCAATAGAAGGTTCTCACTTCTACAGTGGCTGAAAGTGTCCAAAATGTAACTGGTGTACTTTAAACTCAGAACAGAAAAGCATAATAATTGCCACTACCTAAAAACCAGCAGATAAAATAGCAAGATAAAAGAGACTTCCAGTAAGGAGACATTTTAAAGAAAGATGAAGTCAGACTAATTTATCTGAAACCTTTTTTCATATTTACAGTACAAACTGAAAGGTTCCAATAATGAGAAGTACTAAGGAGGGTGTTGGTATGTGGAAAAATGTAATTAATTTCATACAGTTCAGATAACTGCACAGTGATTTAAGGCATCACATTACAACTGGGTTGTGTACTTCAAGGCAGTTTCTGTGAGTCAGTGGATTGGTAGTAACTTCTCAGTCTCAATTCAGCCTTGATTTTGTCCCTCTACCCTTAAATTAAGTAATCTCCATATGTATTTGGGTCCAGATTTTCAAATTTCAGTTAGTCACTTGGGACTAGAGGAGAAAGCAATTCAAATATCACAAGGCTGTCTCAGAGTTTAGGTAGGTAAATCTGACATTGTGATGTAAAAGCTTTTCATCCTCCACTTTTAGAAATTTAGTGCTGAGCTTCCAGTGAGTTCAGCTGAGAAGACACCTAAATCAGATTTGCAAAAGTTGTACTTATGTAAAAGTAAGGCTGCTTCGAAAAGCCTAAGTATTGACTCACATACTTCTTTTAAAACACCTAACTTTGTAAATATTGGTCTTTATTTTCTTGGCTGTGTCTTTGAAGTCTGATGAGCACAGTTTTCAGCTTTTTCTGCTGATTCATAGTGGTACAGATAATTTTATTTCCTTAATTTCGCGTTAAAAGCCCCTTAAGGATATTGCACAAATTACTGATGTTCTTAACCTGTGTGCAGACAAAATGTATGAACAAGAAGCTTTCACTGAGCCTTTATGTGAACTTATTAAACTCTTTGGGTAAGTACCTCAGCCCCTCTTAGAGATTTAAATACTGCCTATTAACAGGTTTATATATTTTCTAAGGAAACTGTCATATTCATGCAGCATTTACCTACAAAGCACCTGTAACTGCAAGGTATCCATTGGATCATCCTTTTTATCAAATGTCTTTTACTTGTGTGCAGTTTCTGGTGACATGGATGAGGATCCCATTTTAACAGTTCAGTATCTGTGCAGTTAGATGTTACAGAATTCAAAACTGTGTTTTACTGGGCCCCAGCTTGCTTGGAAGTGAGGTTCCCCAGGGTCTCTTATTGCCCAAGTCAATCTGGGACTGCTGGCCTCAAAGGATTCAGCAGCTGAGTGGTACTGAGGTGTGTTTTGCTGTTTCAGACAAGCTCTTAAGTGAGTTTAAAAACTTAGGGTGACACAAAGACATTCTAATACCTGAAGGTAAGCATTACAAAATGACAAGCCATATTACAGGGGAGAATGAATGTCAACAGGATTTATATTTATTTTTAAAATGTATTGCATGAACTTTTGGGCATCTTTGTTGTCATACTGTATTTCAAGTAATCTGTAGAATAGAATTTAGGTGTTATCCACACTTGTCAGATTTTTCCTCTTCAATAATTCAGTCAAGTTATTTATGGTATGCTAGTAGCTACAGTTACTCCTGTATTTAATTTCATTTCAGGAGAATAAGGAAGAAAAAAAAAAACCTGTGAAACAGATCGTAAAACAGATATTCACGTAAATTTTTACATAGCTTCCTCTCAACTGTTAGGTTTAATAAACACAGAACTTCTCAGCTGAATCTTTTAGTTTCCTCAGCACCCTGAGATGTACTGTTTTTCTTTGCTGCCTCACAGTGGGGAATGAGGAGGTACATCATGGAGTTTAATTGTCTTTGGTGTTTGCTAGAAGCATGATAAAAACTGAGAATGAGTGTATAAAGTCAATAAAATGTATCTGTGAGAGTTTTCCTCTTTTAGAGCAGTTCAGCACTAATTGTGGTTTCTGCAATGAATATATTTTGGAATATTGCACCCTTGGGTTTTGCTTTAATTTCTGTACTATGGAAATTCCACCACAATTCACTACTACTTCATATGACAGAGAAGCCATTTTTAGGATTCAGTTTCAGATACATTAATTTCTCCAGTAAAATAGTAAAATAGTCCTCTCTTTTGTAGCTGCTTCTGTTTACCTGTCTTCTTCCCACTTTGCTTTTTTCCAATGTCTTTTTTCTCCCTCTCCTGCCTCTCCCAGCATTTATTTCATTGTTTGTTCTTTCCTTCCTTTTCCTCTGGTAGTGTTTACAGAGGTAAACTTACTGGAAAGCTGTTTCCACAGTGTGTACTGCAGAGTTCTCAGCATAATATTGTAATGTTTACTGTTAGACAGTTTTTAGCACTTACATGTTTATGTCCTATCTGAGTATTTTGAATGTGTTATTGAATATTTATTAATATCCTGGTTTTAAAAATAAATTTGTTATTGTGCTATTTGGAGTCCATTTATTTGGTTCACTTTTATCCATTTCAAGAAGTCTTACCCAGAGATAGGATCCCTTTTTTCCACCTCTGCACATGTCTGCACATAGCCTAGCTCTGTAATAGCCTGATAGTGCCTAGGTTGTAGGATTTAGTCTTCCACATTTAAATTACATTTGTTTATTCAACATATCTTGTTGCATCATATTTCAATTATTAAAATATTATCTATGAACGTGTACCACTAATTACCAACATGTAATTGCAGATTATGAAGCTTTCAGTGTAGAATCAGCATTGCAAAGAGTGCATTCATCCTAGAAAATGTGTCCTTATCTGAAAAAATTATCAAGGGAGAAGAGAAGAGCTGCTGAACTTTTGTGGTGACTTCATTAATTATTACATAGTTGTAATATTTTTAATTTCATTTTGCAGGTTACCATTTCAAAAAAGGAAATCATCTGATGAAGCAAACTATTCCATTGAAGTTTCACAATCCATTACACAACTGGGTGAGTGTAACCTGATACGCCACAATAAAATTATTATTATGCCACAATAAAATCAACTGTATTATTAGCATGATTTTAATTTACTGTTACTCCTTAGTAAATGTAGGTAATTTCTTTAAATTATTCATTCAATCCTCTGTATTTTTTCATATTAGAAACAGTTTTTACTTTGCAGCTAACCTGAAGATTGGCTAGCAGAATCAAAAGCTACATAAGAAAATGTTATCAGTGCACATGAAGAAGTAAACGTGTATCTAGCCTGTTCCATTTCATTTTGATCTGAGAAATGGGGCTGTCACTGTAAACACTGAAACCTGGGATGCCAGGAACATGTATCCTTCCTGCTTCTATGCTCCTTTTATTTCATATCATACCTGCTTAGAAGAGTTTCTAATGGCTTGGTAGTGATGACAGCAGCTTAGTGTTAGTAGCTTTCCTCAGAATTCCCCAACTTCTGGAATACCATGCAGTGCTGTATAAGTGTCTGTAGCCATAAAGCAGAGAAGGTAACTTTTTGATTAAACTTAGGCTACTCCTCTAAGATGCCTTTGTCATCTCCAGTGCGGGAGTCACTGCCTCTTGAATATTTTGTAATGAAACTTTGCATGAAATTACAAATTTGTAGGTAATAATAAGTGCTGTAAAAAGAAGAACACTGTGTTAAGAATACTTTCTAAGAAGTTATAAATTCTGTTAATTACATCTATTTCTCTTTCTGACAGGTTACTTGATGAGCATACAAAGCTCTCAGGTTAGAATACAAATCTGTAAGAGTGTTGTTAATTTTTTTAATACGGAGCTACCAGGAAAACTACTTTCAGGTAAAGCAGGGTATTTTTATTTTTTAATGATCCTAACTATTTTGAAATGCCTCTTTTAATTAGCTATTGATTAGTTTTTCTTTATAACTATGGTTACTGTATCTCATATATTAAATATATAACATTGGCAAATATATAATTAACATATTTTTATAGAGGTGCATATTCTAAATCTGAAATAAGTTCATCAATGTACAAGGAATTAATTATTGCACTTACAAAATTATCATTAAATAGCATCCAGAAAATGTGAAGTGATACAAGATCTCTGAAATCTGGGTAATGGAGGGGAAAAAAAAAGTAGTTAGGATCAGAATTCTAAGAAGGGAAATGTAGTTTTCAGGTTTTTATATGTAGCCTGGAGAGAAGCAGCTTTGCTTTCACTTGTGTTGTGAGGGATAAATCTGAATCCATTTAAATTTGATTGAGTTCATATTATATGGACACCTTGGAGCATGGGTTTGAATAAATGGTGTGATTTATCTCTGCAGAAGGAGGCATGATCAGAATCCACCATTATATAATTCCTTTGACTCTTAGGATGGTGCCAGAGACTGTGGTCAGGTGAAGTCAGTCATGGATCCCTCCCAGAGGGGCACAGCATCCCATGCTGTGAGACTGCACTGTCTCTATAGGCAGCCAACCTCAAGGGAATATTGCCACAGTGTGGCTCAGGAGGGCAGGTCAAGGAGCGTGCTTGATGTCACTGTGCTCCCCTGCTGTATTTCTGCAGTGGGGCATTAATCCTGTGCCCTTTTACAAGTTGTCATCTATTTTAGGAGGCCTAAAGAAGCTGCTGCTACTACAACACTTTCAAAATTCTACAAATGGGAAAGCATGCAAATCTGTTTTTACCTTGCAAACAAGACTCAAATCCTGCATGTAGCTATGTGTGCATGTAGTTCTGTATCTGTAAATAATTCCGTCAGGATAAATGAATGTTATTGAGCAATTTTGTTTTTCTTCTTCCAATTTAGAAAATCGGATATGTTATCTTGAAATGAAGAATGTGTTTCAGTCTGATTTTTTAAGTCAAATATTTCATCTCGAAGCATATATTTACATCTTGCCAAAGTCTGACCCTGCAGAGTTCTCTTATCTGTAAAATAATATCAACTTTGAGCCTATCAGAGTGTGTGCTTAGTTAAACTTCATTTCACCATGTGAATTATCTGTATTTATCAATTTGTACTTTATGAAATTTGATATATATATATATAGTGTGTATATACACATATATATGTATTTAAGCTGCTTAAAATAAGCTTTGCTTTCGTGAGTTATCATAATATGAGAATAAATATGAATTTATTTTCTCCATGCTTCACCTTCCCCATAATTTAGTAATGAAATACAGATTTGCATATGCATGGACAAAAGTAAAAACATTGACACATCAGAAAGTCAAGCTTGTAAATCAAAGTTTGGATTCACCTATTTTAAGTAATATGATGATAGAATGCAATAATTCTCTAGTCAACAGACTACTGAAGAGAACTAGGTTACTGATGACTGAAGAAAGTTTTTCACTTCTATAGCCCTGCTTTTACTTTCATTGTCTAAATTCTAAGCAAGTAATTTGTTTCTATAGCATTGAAATCTGCTTGCGGGTGAGTCAGTTGGATGTTTTATAGGCACTATTCAGATAAAAGAAAAGCAGCTCTTGTGTATTGGATTGTTTTTCTTAACTGCTTGAAATATGATACGTGATTTTCAATCCTTTCTTTAAAAAGTATGAACAGTTTATGAAGTAATCAAAATTCTGGGGTTTTACTGCATTTAATTTTACTGCAATTTACTGCATTTTAATTAAAGCTACTGTATGTACAGGTTACCAGCCAACAAGTCCAAACTATAAAATCCGGATGGCTGAAATAGGAGGATTAGCAGAAATTCTTGTTTTGTCACTAACATTAGTTGAAAATCAACTTACTGAGAAGTTGTGGGTACTTAAAGCTCTCCAGCATCTTTCCATCTCTGGTTAGTACAAACTGTTCTTTCAATAATCTTATTACCATTGATCTTAAATAATTTGTTCTCTGAACATGCCTGAAACAATTACTGACCTATAGAGAATTAATTACTGTGATTTACATAATTTCAGGAGAAAGTTGTGAACAAATGGTGAACGTCCAAGGAGCCAGGAGGCTTTGTTTGTGTCTGAATGGTGCTGATCCCTCGGGACAGCTGCTGTTCCGTTCCTCAGATATCCTATGGAACCTGCTAGAAAAAGTCTCAAAAGAAGAAGTTGTTAATCAACTCAGAAGCTTGGAATGTGTACAGTAAGTACAGAGAGCATTTAATGAATTACTTTTGTCATTGTGGAGACATCTGAAGCATTCTGTTGTGTAGCATTTTGTTGGAAATTAACTGATAGAAATGCAGATGGATCTCTGATTAGATCCTCGTTAAGATTTCATTATTAAGATAGTAGTTGCTGTTACAGGGCAAGAGCAAGGTGCTCTGCTGCATGGTGCAGGAGGAATAGCTCTATCTATTGCTTTGTACAATAGAAGAGTTAAGCACTTTGAAGCATTTTGAGTTAAGAGTTAAGCATTTTGAAGCTCCCAAGTTAGGCATAATAGGCCAGTATTCCTTCACTATTGAAGTGCTGATGTTACAAAATTACAAGGAATTTCTATGCCATGATATACAAGTTTTATTTCTAGATCCTCTTCTGGAGTAAATAACAGGTTCTTCCTTAGTGAGTTGGACTGTTTTAACTATTTAAGATTAGACTATTCCTTCTCAATAATCATTCAGCAATCTCCAGTTCCACATTTAGTAAATACTGTGTCTTTATATTAATTAGTTATAACACAAACAGCGGAAGATGCAATTTTTACTATATGCGTCTTGCATCTACAAATAAATGGTATGTCTAGTGGTACCCAAAGGAATCCACTTCATAATGAAGTTCTAAGCTATTTCTCTTGTAGTTAAACCCTAAGGCTTTGAAAAGTATGATGCTGAATGAGGATTCATATATGTGGAGCTATCCAACATTAGAATGTCAAAGAAAAAGGTAAAATGCATTTCTTTTTCTTTTAGTGCTTTGAAAGAAGCATTTGTAGAGCTCGTGTGTGGCTTCCGGCACTGCGATCACCAGCTGCGGAATGACCTCTTGGTGATTGCCACCTTACTAGCTGAAAGCCCTGCAGTACCTCTGATTGTAAGTATTTAGAGTTGCATTCCAGACACTAATAGCTTCTTCTTTGCTTTTATAAGCTTGGCATTCTTCCCCATTTGGGTTCTAACATTTATTTCTCCTGTGTCTCCAGTGCTTTTTTCTTTCTTGGATTTGCTGAGCAAGAAAACTTCTTTTCTTTCTGTAGTTGTCTTTACCTCAAAAAGACTTAAAATCTGTAGGTAATTAGCCCAGAATACTATCAACCTTATTTAATTCTTAGAAAATCACATTACCATTATCTATGTGCAAAATTTAATGTTAATTCTTGTATTCTTGTATGGATTCTTGAATATGCCATTCTCCTAAAAAGAGTTTTGCACTAAATCTCATTTTTTGTTTGAAGATGTAAGCTATATTCAGATGACTGAAATCCAATGTGTGCCTTATAACTGGGAACGAGAAGGATGTGCAAAAATCAGCTCAGGAGCTCCAAGATTCTGAGAAAATAATTAGGTCTAGTTAATAAGAGGCACATAAATTCTTTTAAAGACTACGTCACATAATGCACTACCATGACTTGCCTGAAATGTAGATGACTCATTCTTTTGTAACATTCCAGAATTTTTATGAGAAACTTGCAGAGAAATTAACTTTATATAGAGGTTAATATTGCTTTAGTCTCTTGTTTTACATTTGAGATTTACAGGTTCAAATGAAGTTGGGACGTACAGACTGAATAATTAAGCAATCAAGATTGCTTAATAATTAAGCAAGCAATAATTAAGATCCCTGTGGATTAATTGGCTGTTCGGGAATATATTACTTTCCTGTTGAAGAGAAGTTTACCAATTGGCTGTGTTACTAAATGAAGATTACAGACTTTTCATTCAAGCTTTTCATGTAACACCAACTAGTATGAAATGTCTGTTATACAATTGCAGCAACATATTGAATATCTAAAACATTCAAATTGTTTATCTGGCTGTAGAAACAGGGCATTTTATTCCTACAAAGTAAGTAAACCAGATATGTATTTTTAATTCCTTATAATAAAAGGAAGAAAAATTGTTTCTATGCAAAGAAAATATTAAAATAATTTAATTTAGGTTTTTTACTCTCAGCCTGCCTAGAGATTTTACATGGTATAAATATAAGGTGGAAAAAACATTAACATTACTATTTAATACTGCCTTACAGATAATACTATAGCAATTTGCTTCGGAATGTTCCCTTTTCTTCTTAATATACTATCCAAGCAACTTCAGAAAAGTTAGTCTTATATTTTATATAGTTCACAACTCTGCACGGGAGTCTGAACTTTTGAAAAGGAAAAGTTTTCTTATCACAAGCAAACTGTAAAATTTATGTAAAGTTCATATTGATATTATTATCTTTGTGTTAGGAAAAAACCTGTTTGCTAATTGCTTACCTCAGAAACAACTCTTCTTTGCCTCTAATGTGCTGCAGAGACACCTCCTGGCTTTGGTCCTATCCATAGTTATATTAGACATTATTGTCCTTCTGTTAACTCTCTGGGAGCTGTGATTCACAAGATTTTATTTCTGAGTTTTTCATATGTAGTATTTCTAAATTCTTCTTCCGCATACATGCAGTTTTCATAGGTACTGATGACCCTGATGTAAAACATGACCAAATGCATTTTAACAAACAGCTCTAAAAACACTGAGAATATTTTTTGTGTTAGATTATAGTAGTGAATACAAATGTTTGGGACTTCCCCACAGAAGTTCAGACTTGTACTGAATGAAGCATGGGTTTAACTAATTGTACCCTTAGGACTGCAGTTAGTTATTGTTGTATAATGTCCAAATGGTTGTTCAATTCTTTGATAAAATTCTGTTTATTCTGCCATAGGATACATTAAATTCTGTGTTCTGAAGAAAAAAGTCAAGCCAAAATTAAATCATAAGTCTTAATTTCACTGCAATTTAATTAATGTGTGTTTTTTGAATGCCTATTAGGAAAGTGGATTTGCAAAGATCTTAATAGTACTTGCAACATGTACTGAAGGTAAGAGATTCCGTAGTGCATAATTACACAATTTTTGCTTTTAATTATGATTTTTTTTGTAACTTATCTACCATTTCTATCATAGTTAAACTTCCCAATCCTTTGGTAAAAGGTTTTAAACTTACCTACTCCTACGAGGATTTTGAGATGAAGAAGTTACTATTTAATATAATAGGAATCTTATCTAAAGACCCATCTTCTGCACAGGTGAGTTGTAACAGAACAGAAATAATATTTTTTTAAAAAAAAAGAAAAAAGAATCACAAGAATATTACTTATCTCTCCATCTACCATAGTACAGTACACTGAAATTCTCTGTTCTCCAAATCAAGAATTAATACATCGCTTCAGACCAAGCCCTACCTTGAAAAGTAGCATACAATTTCTATTTTAGAAAGTTACAAACTTAGACCATGCTAGGGAAATTGCTGACAAGTGTCTGCAGAGCATTTTTGAAATACACCTGAAGAATATAATAAAATTTAGCAAACCACAATCTCTGGGAAAGCTACAGAATATAAAAAGAGTTTGCCTGTACTTGTAGTGTTCATGACATATTTTCTTAATTAAAAATTAATTTTGTTATTGTAGGACAGATAAAGTTGACTCACCCTTTAGGTTTTTCTTATTTGCATGTGAAACCTGTAAACTGTCTCTTTTTCTTTGTCTGGACTCTGCAGCTCTTCAGTGAAAATCATGTGATCCCAGCTTTGCTTTATTATGTAAAACAAAATCAAAGGTCTGCATTTCCTGACTGGTCTGCTGCCCAATATGAAGAATTACAGCTTCATGCACTTGCTGTTTTAGCTTCAGTGGCTCCTGTGTTAGTAGACAAATATTTGTCCTGCCAAGCGAATACTCTTCTCCTTGTGTTTCTAGAATGGTGTATAAGCCAAGGTCAGTGGGTTCTCATGGCTTTCACACACAGGTAACCTCAAAACAGTTCAGCTGAACCTACTTTCCTTAACAGGAAAGGAAAATGTAAAACTCATGATGTCAGAATGGTTCTTTTTCATAGGCCAGCTAAGAAACAAATGTTTCCAAAAAACAACAAACCTTTTTTTTCCTACTGAAGGATGAGCTGGTGCCCCTCTCCCTGTGTACCACTATATTGATATTCCTTCAGACAAACACCTCTGCTGTCTGTGTTTTAAGTGAGCCAGGCCCTTCCCTTGTGGCAAAAAGTCCAAGCAGGAATTCCTGCCATGAGACAGGACATGTTAACTCAGAGTCGTACATGGTGAGACAGGTTCCAGACTACAGCTGGCTTCTGGGCATCAGATAAGAGTGTGGGCTGAGCAAAAATAGAACTAAGTGCACTCAGTGTTCCTGCCCAGATTTCTAAGGATAGGTATTTTTCATCATAAAATTGGTATGTCTTCCTAGCTCTCCTAAGAAATTTCCTAAGAAATTTTTAATTGGGTTGAATGGAGATCAAAAGGTAGATATTAAATGTCATACCAAACATAACATTTTGAGTTTGTAAAACTGCTCATGAACCTAGTAAGGGTAAAAAATATGTAATAATTTTAAATGTTCACCAAAATGTTACCTTTCTTATGCATGTAAAAAGTGTAGTTCTAAACAAAAAGGCTTATTACTAGATGGTTTTAAACAAGAATAATTTCTAACTTCAGCAGGGTTTGGGGGGTTTTGTTGTTGTGTTTTCAGTTTTTTGGGGTTTGTTTTGTTTTGTTTTTATTTTTTCTGAGCACATTTTTCTGAACATAGATTGTGTGCCAAAACCGGCATTGGTTGTGATTGCTCCACAGATCCTTTCTTTGGTCGAGGTAACAGTTTCCATGGAACAGGCGGTCGTGGCACCAAACTCGCGCAAATGCGCTACAGCCTCCGAGTTCTGAGATCTGTTGTGGCCCTTTATAATGACGTTGTGAACAGTAACTTGTGTGACCAGGGAGCAATTAGCCAGCTACTGGGTAAAGCACAATTTGTATTGCTGTTTTTTAATTAGTACATTTCTGTTGACACTGAGAATGTTCATGTGTTTTTGTGTACTGGGTTTTTAGTGTTTCCTTCAACAGCTGAAAAACTAAAAAAACCTCAACCAATTAATCCAATGTGTAACTGATTTGATGTTAATTTTTTTTTCATTTCAATACACATTGAATGAGTTAAGCAAAACAGACAGTTTTAAAAGTCTAGATGTTTAATTTCAGAGCAAAAGCTGCCCCTTCTCACTTTATGTTACTGCATTTGGTAGATCTTTTTGTTGTGGCAGTCCCCAGAAACTCCAGCCCATGAGTATTTTTCCACCTAGGTCTATCAGAGTGTTGCTTTCCACAACTCTGCTTTAGCACAGAATAAAAATAATAGCAAGGTACCTTTATATGAACAACATGAAGAAAAAAAGCCGAATAAAACTGCTTAATCACTGCTCCTGCAATTTTAGAGCACTTCTTGTTCAGTAACACATACCTACTGTTAAATTTGGTTTTAAGTTCCAAAACAAGCTGGTTTAAGTTCTTTTCTTACAATATCAGAAAGTTTTCAGTACTCTGTAGGAAACAAAACAGGAAAGATCCTTTGGAATTCAAAGACTGTGTTCTAATAAAAAGCCTAGAAATTAATTATTTTATAGCCTCAGTTCAACTCCAGTGAAAACTCTGTGGAAACCTACAGCTTTTTATGAAAGCAAAATTATTACTATACCTTACATATCAGAATCAAGTAACTCTTACTCTAGGCAAATTTTGTATATGAATGCCCTCTTCCACATAGTGGCCCCAAGGCTGACTTTGTCAGCAATGGTGATATTTTATGTCTTTCCCACATTTCCACTGTCAGTTCAAACATTTGTGAAGCTGTGGAGTAGAGTGAAGCAGCCAGTTTGTTGTCTTTTTCTAAGAGTTCTTTAATTCCTATCAGTTCCCTGAATTCCTTACACTGGCACAATCTAAGGGGCAGCACAGAGTCTGAGCAAGGGAGAAGTCAGTGCAAGCTGCTGTCTTTAACTCTGTCACAAAGAGTAAAGGCCATGAAACTGCAGCATCAGAGTGCACCACTTGTGGAAGCTATTATTGAAACACAAGAGATAAAACTGAACTTACTTTAAAAATCCTTTCATATAAATTTGGGTTTTGTAAAAAACAGCCGCTGTAATAGAATTTTGACATGTGTATAGGGGCATTCATATATATAAAATATATCCGTTCACAGACATCCTAAAGTATGCAGCGGACATATCTAAAGAAAAAGAAAGTATTGCTCTACTGGAAATCCAAGCTGACATATTATTTATTTTGTCTGTTCTCTGTGAAGATGATAACGATAGAAAGGTATGTATCTTTCTACCTTACACTGTGCAGAAAGTGTCAAAACATATTATATTTTCTTAAAAGGGAGACTGCTTTTTTGTGTTTTAATTGAAAAGCAGGTGTCAATTGCAGTTCATTGTTAACGAGTCATGTTTCTTGACCCAGCTAAAATATAAAAGCAGTCAGAAATCCACTAGCAAGTGTTGAACCTATTTGATTATTAATTTACATTATTTTGAAACTGATATATGAAAGTGTGTTAAGAAATTAATTAGAACTTTGGAAAAACTGAAAGTCTTTTTTCCTACGTGTACCTCCTGCTCTAACACGTGGACCAAATTTATTGCAATATAAATATTTACATTTCCCATTTTCCATTGTATTTTCTTACATGTTTAAATTTAGTAAATATGGCTTAAAAAACTTTGCTTTGATTAACATTTCAACAGGAACTATTCAGCTGTGAAGGAATTGATATTCTCGTCTCATACTTAAAGATGGATCCAACGAGGTTATGTAGTGGAATAGGCCACAATTGTCTCCTCCTCAGTGCACTGGACTGCTTGTGGTTAGTGAAGTATTTTAGCAGCAGTACCTTGGAAAAATGTCAAGTCTTGTATTTTTTCTGCAATGCTATGACCTTTCTCTGCATATGTAGGCCTTTCTTCTGTTTATAGCGTATAAAAATTTTTCATAAAATTTGACTAATTAAAAATTATGCAAAAGAAATGAAATACACTGCATGTGAGATTTTCTAAATATGTATTCAGTGTGTCAACCTCACTCCCCACACAGGGTGACCTCCTGACATGCAGAGTTACTCAAGACTTTCTAAGAGAGGCATATGGTTAGAGTCTGTAAATAAGTTTAGAGAGGTAAACAGCAGGCAAGAATAGACCAATATTAACAAAAACCTATGTAAACATTAGAATTGTCTGTAAACTGGCTATATTGGGCTAAAAATATTTTAAAGATTGCCAGTACATAGGAGGAAAATAAAAACTTTGTTTTAAGGCAGAGGTTGATAAATACATTAAAAATCAAATATGTTTGCTGGGAAAAAATACTGATATATGAGATCTCTAGTTTCTCTGTTAATGACCATAGCAGAGGAAATAAAGAAGCAACAGCAACATGAATGCTGACTTTATGATCGTTTTAATCTGGGAGAAGCAAACTGTTGCCAAAAAAAGTGTTGCTTTGACTCACCCCCTTGTTTTTGCTGGCAGAAATATTCATGCAGCCCTACAATAAATCAGATTAGGGACATAACCTGGTTAAATTTTAAACTCGTTAACTGAGTTAGTTTTAGTTCAAATACATATTCCAATTGATTGAGAGCCTGCCAAATTTGTCAGGCTGCTTCAAGGAAGGTGTGCCACCTGCAGGAGAAGAAAAAGCAGTCAAGCAGGTATATTTAGTTATAGGTGTAAGTGAAAGATACATGAAACATGATTTTTCTGCTCCCTGAATATTGCATACCAAATGGTATGAAATTCAGTAAAATAAATCTGATGATTGTAGAATGTTCAGAATCATAAAAGTTTTTCTACATAAGGTATATTATTTCTGTTTAAGGTCCTGTGTCATTGGATGTTTCATTGCAGAGGAATCTTTTATTGAAAAGCAGGGTGTTTTTCTCCTTCTGGATTTGTTGGCAGTAGGTATTTTTATTACTGGTTTTGTAGAATGAAAGAGTAGGAAAACAACATGGCAAATTTTGTTATTTTTGTTGCAGTATCTCCTAAGACCGGTATGATACAAAAAACCCAACCAAACAAAACCACAAAAACAAACAAAAACCAACACAAACAAAAAAAACCCCAAGTATATTTAACTGCCTGAGACATACCCAGATATCTGCTCAGAAATTATTGTATAGGTTTTCCCTGTATCTTTTTTTCTTTTTTTTTTTAAATACGTATTTGACATAGGGAGTTTTTAATTTAACAAAATTATTCATTTTTGAAAAGAAAACCCAAATTTTGCTCATTCATTTTTGAAAAGAAATCCCAAACTTTGCTCTCAGTTTGGATGACATCTCTCTTTAGAAAAGCATTTCAGTTCTTCATATTGAAGTTAGTAAGAGCACTTGATGGCTTTAACAGTTTTTATGTTTGAAGTTACCTTGTACATGTATCTTGTGTGTATAGCTATTTCTGTGGATCTTGGACATGGAGTTGGCACAGACATCTCAACTCTTAGGAAATAAAAATACACCTTCCTTGGGTCATTCACTCCTCATTCACACTGGTTTTGCTGTCAGCCCATGATATTCTTGCAGTGCAAGGCTGCAGACCCTCAGAATAGCAGAATCATAGAATGGCCTGGGTTGGAAGTGACCTTAAACATCACCCAGTTACAACTCCCCTGGCCATGGGCAGGGCCACCTTCCACTAGAGCAGGTTGCTCAAAGCCACCTCCAGCCTGTCCTATCCAGCCTTCAGGGTTGGGACTTCCACAGCTTTCCTGGGCAAGCTGTTCCAGTCCCTCATCAGCCTCAAAGGAAGGAATTTTTTCCCAGTATTTAATCTAAACTGACCCTTTCTCAGTTTGAAACCCTTGCCTCCTCTCAGCTGCTGCCAAAAGATCTGGCCCCAAAAGAGAAGGTGTGCTGTGAGGTACTGCTCAGCCTCTGCCTTCAGAGTGCTGTTTCTTACAACAATAGACCTTGGTAACAGTGTATTCTCCAGCATATGATCCTGGAGCCATGTACACAAAAACTACTTGTGATTGTACACACAGGAATGCATCTTATATGATCCTATCCTCATGTTCCTTGATTTATGGAACTTTGCATAGCAGGATGACAGAAACTTTAAGGATGTACAAGCTTATACACTAATTTTGTGCAAATACTAGTGATTAAAAGCTTGCAGTTACTTGATTACATAGTACACTATTTCTCAGAAAGAAGACATCAATGTATTTTGAACAGTTTAAAACTTTGTTTACTTTATCCTTGATAAAGGTAAGGGACAACAACCTGTGCAATATAATTCTTGGAATCTTGGTTGAATTTTCTGACAACCCTAAAACCGTTTTGCACATGAGTATCTGGCGAGGGAAGAGAGATCGAACAGCAGCAAACGTTCTAGTACAGTTATGGAGACAGGAGGAGCAGGATTTGGGAGTCAAACGTGATCAAAATGGAAAGATTGTTGGTAAGTTTTGTGATGCATGTGGAACTGTGAGCAGTCCAGTAAAATGATGACATTCTTTGCTCTTGTAGTCTGAATTCTGATGACAGTAAATAACAGCATTTATAACTTTACACTATAATTCTTACCAAATCTAAAATATCTTCAGTTTCATTTATTTTTTATTTCATTTTAGTTATTCATTTATTTTCATTTTATTCTGGCCCCTATATGGTATTTTCTAGATCAGCTGGGAATGGACCAAATATTGAACAGAACAATGACCAGCTTTTCTAATGCTAGACAGTTGAACTGCTTAATTTCTTCTACGAAAGGCATTTTATTTTGTTCTATGTTGTAAAAAGAAGTGAGTGCTGTTCTCACAAATTTTTAGTCATGCTGATTAAAATTTCCTGACCCAGATTATGTTCAACTCTTGGCCAAACAATCAAAATTATTTACATGGTGTCCACAAAGTAAGATGGATTTCCTCTAAGTTTGGGATCATACTACTACTTCATTCTTCTACTCTGGTTTTGTGTTTTTGTGTTAGACCCCAAGAGACCTGTTATTACCAGCTTCCAGAGACAGCAAAAGGTCATTCCAGTGCCTGCCTGCTGTCCCAGTTTTTCCGTCATGGAAATTTCAGAGAGCATACGGGCAAAAATTTATTCATTATTTTGGAAGCTAGGTAAGACAAATGAGTTGCCTTGTTAGTGTCATATTTGTTATTAAACTGAACTTATAAATAAAGTTACTATGAAAAAAAAAAAAACCAAAGTCAAAGAAAACATGATTCAGCATCAGTACTCTCTAATTGATAGATGCTTGGTCGTTATGGTTTTTTTTAGAGTCTCTCCTTATTAGGATTTCAAGACTTTCCCACTACTTTGCTGCCCCTACCACCAGGAAGAATTTTCTTAGGACTAAACTTAAAATTTGCTTGAAATTCTCTGCAATTTATTTTCCTACACACAATATCACTTTCATATATTTTAGTAGTTGTACATTTATTTCTCTAGATTGAGAAAGATATTACTCATTGATTGCATTTTTTAACATAATCTCTAGTTATTCTTGTTTTTTCTGTAGTCTTTCCAATTGAATCAAATTCTTCTTGGTCTGTAGTGTACCAAAGCTGAACACAGTACTCCAGCAGAAGCCTCACAGCCATACAGAGTTATGTTACTCTACACATCTTGTAAATAAACATTCAGACATAAATGTAACAGTCGCTGTATTCCTGGTGCCATGATATTGTTTGCTCATTCAACTTAGGATGTTGTACAGGTGGCTATTCCTGTAGATTAGAATTTTCCATTTGTCCTTACTGAATTAAATTCTGTGGTTTTAGATAGTTTTTCAGAGTGGCAAGATTAATTTGCATTTTAATATTTTCTTTCAAAGTGTGGCAGTCCCTCTTAATTTTTCATTGTTTGTACACTGAATATGAATACTCATTATACCCTTGTCTTAAAACCTAGACTGAATTCAAGATAAGTGATAAATTCTTCCACATCCACGAGATTTGTTTTTCTGTCTGCAGACAAAAGTTGGGTCTTAGTTTTCAGTAATTCATGTGGATATTAATTTTTTTTCTGGTAACATTTAGCTGCATAAACATTATCTAATTATTTGTTTCAGGGGTTTTTTTAGGCTTATTTTTGTTTTCATGTCCATCCTCTGCATGTTCAAAGATAATTAGTAATTGTTCTGAGATTGCTTGCCAGATCTCTGCTTTACCTAGAGAATGAGCTGGTTTGAAAACATCCTTAGTTTCTCTAATAATCTATAGTTACTTGCTTCTCTGTTGTAGGAGCTCCAGGCTCCTACTAATTTTGGTAATGTTAATTATATTGAATGTTGAATCACAGCTGGATTCTTTACTAAAATAAAAAGGCATAAGATTTTCTTTCAGCTTTCTTCTATATTCACAGATAACCCTCCATGTTAGTTATATACATTGTACTGTCTCCTGTGAAGTACTGAAATTATATGAAATTTGACAATAACATATGGACATATTTTATAGTCTTTTATCAGCAACTTCCTGGGTTGCTCCATAACAGCCTGGAATCTAGAAAAGCATTAGTGCTAAATGGTCTTTATTTACAGTATTTCTTAGCTTCAAAACATGATGTAATTATACTCTAGGTAGATGCTACTTTCCCAGTTACCACACAGATGATATGATGAAGTCCAGAAAGATTTGATACTTGATGGACTATATTTACATTTTTTTAATTAAGTGCCATTATCCTTCAGTGTGCAAAAAAAACAAATGAAACATAGTCTCAGCAACCATACTTCCCTACCTTATTCTTTTCCACATACTGGGAACATTTTGTAAAAATGGAGTCATGATGCTCAAGGCATTATGCTAAAGACAGTAATCTACAAGAAGGAGGGACACCCTCATTTCACAGCTTTGGAACAAAGCACTAGTATAATTTTCCTCTTGGCTAATTCACAGTTAAAGCAAACTCTATGTGCTGAACTGCTGCTCTAGAACCTGTGATCAGTAGACTCAGCTGTTTGTCTGCTTTAATAGAAATCAAACCCTTACCACAAAAGTGTAATATCCAAGTGATTGGAAGGCTGACAGCGCCATTCATAAGTAAAGATTTTAGTACAGAGAGAGTATTATAGAGAAGCAGGGGGTTTTTGTCAGCAAAAAATGCTCAGGATCAAAAGTGACTGCCTGGTGTATGTATGATGAATATTTTACATGTGTTTATATGACAAATAAGGTTTTTAGAATATTCTATTTTAAGATCAATTCATCATACTGATGTGATTAATATTCTTTTAGGTTTTGAAAATTTACCTGGCTTATCTGCTAAGGACGTTGTTACACTTGCTATTATACAACATTATATTGACTTTAAAGTGAGTATAGTTCAAGCAAATAATACTATTGTACCTGCATTCCCAAAAATAGCAAGCATATCTCAGGACACAACAAAAAAATTACCCTTCAAAAGCTGTCCCCTGTGTCGCAAGGCACCTATAATTTCACATATGGAAAGCCAGTATTCACCAGCAAAAGAAACAATCCCACCTCCAGCATTGCATCAATCACCATCTTCTTGCTTCATATTGCTACAAATGTTTGTGACCATGCAGCAAATAAGACTAGAAACTAATGCTAGTTAAAAATAACTTGGAAAAAAATAGTTTTAACTGTTTGCCAGATCAAGACAGAAATGTGCCAGGAGTAAGAAATTGGGGAAGGACTGGACAGTAGGACTGTGTCCTTGTGTCCTTGCACAGTAAGGTCATTTTAAGGGGACACTATTAAAAACTACATTAAAACCACATTTTTATAGTTTCCTCTGTGCTTTGCTATCTTTGTCCCTATATGCAGTATCCATCCATCCATCCATCCATCCATTGTAAAGTTAAGAATGGTCTGCCTACAGGGACTACAGCAGGGTAACAAGCTTTGTGAGAGCTGGAGAGCTGTCTTGCTCAAAATATGCTTTAGTTTATGATAAATTTATGCTTAGGAACAAAGTCTGTGAGAGCTTGCAGTGCTCAGGAAATAGCAAGACTCAGTCTTTGGTTGATAGTTCCAGCTTCTGTTGATAGCTTGTGTTGCAGTTTGCTCTAATAATGTCTGCAATTTAAGATTCTAAGAAGTAGAAGTAGAACTCAACACTTTGCTCTTGTAAATTGGTATCTTGAAGCTATTCCTTCAGAATTTCTGTAGTTATCAGCATTCTTGTTGCCCCTCTTTGAATCAAGTTTGGTCTTTGGAAGGCTTAGGGAGGCTTATCATGACTGAATCTGGCATAGTAGTAGTGCAGTCTTACCTTGCATAAAAATTTTAATAAGTCAAACAAAAATAAGGAGAGATATGATGGCTCTGTTTTATTTTGAATAATTGGAACTGAAGAATGTGATAAATACTGAATATGGTGTATGTTTCACACACAGGTTGGAGAGGTTTGGAGTGAAATATCTGCAGAAATAAAAGAAGAATTCAGGCCTGTCACATCAGATGAGAGAGCCTTGAAACTTATTTCAGAGGTGTCAGAAAATACTGGAAGAATGGTTCTTGGTCTGCAGAATGAAGCGCTTGAAAGACAACACAACCAGGAAATCAAGGAAGAGAAAAAAATTTACAAGGAGGTAAGACAAAGGAGTATTTAAATAAGGAAAGCCCACCTAAGATTTTTTTCCCATTCTTACGCAGATTTTCTTATTATGTAATGTTGAGAATCCTGTACCTGAACACTGCTTGAAAAGTTTAAATCTGTCTCAGCAGCCAAATTTTAACTTTAAATTAAATTAGGTTAACCTCAGTCCTCCCAGCTTCTATAAATTCCACAGTATTTAGAGAGTAACATGAAAAAATGAAGCAGCATCATCAATGATGCATCAGCAATGGAGTAATGAGAAATGAACATTATTTTACTATAGAGTTGCACTCGTGTCCATCTGTAGCAGATGACAGTACAAAGTACCTATTACAACTACACCTGCTTCTTAAAATGAAATACAAGTCTCTATTATAAGCCCCCTTGCTGAATATTCACAGGTCTTTATTACTTTAGAAAGTAGGGCTTTGTGCTTCCCAGCATGCTGTGAATGAGAAAGTATAGACATTTTCCAGCTTTGGTTATGAGGCAGACATTTCATGGTTTTGCTCATCTGTTGTCTCACCCTCTCCTGCTTTCTAAGAAATAAGATCATTTGGTCCAGTTGTCTGAAATCTCATGCTAGTGATTTTGAGGGATTGTCCTGCATTATGATGACAGCACTTTTGTCACCCGAACTTATTCTATTACTTTTACTCAGCATTTGAGAGTTAGAATATACAGAAAGTATTCCTGAAAGAGCTGGGCCTCATCCAACATACATGTTAGAAGAGAGGAAAATTAGTTTGCACAAAAACCTCTTTGTTTATAAGGGCAGTGCATAAGTGCAGTTTTTAAAGGGCAGGTACTTTACTACATTATTGTCCAGTCTCAGGTGAGAGGGATGAGCTAAGGTAGCCAAAGGGGCAGAGCTGAATGTTCTTTTCAAATGGCACAAGCAATGAAATCAGAAGACATCTGATACCAGCGCTGTGTTGCATAAATGCTGTAAATCTCATTTCTATTACAGATCCAAGCTACCCAAGTACAGAAAGAAATGATAGATAAATCTTGGCAAAATTTCTTGGCTCGGACATCGAACTATGAGGCATTGAAGGTAAGAAACCTCATGGAGCAAAAAATTTACAATCATGATGTTGTTATAATAATTATGAAGTTCCAAAGACATTTCTTAATGAATTATAAGGATGTTCAAGTAGAAGTGATAGTAAATTTTATATTCACACAGACATAGAAGTAGTAACCGTAAGATGTATTGGAAAAGTTATACAATCTTTGATTCTTCTGACTACAACCACAATTTGGGGATCAGCATTGTCACTTGCAATTGAGGAGTGGGTGTATATATGTGTATTTCTTCTAAAACTGCTGAAACTATAGGTCTGTTTGTTCTTACTTTTCTTTATTTTTTCTAATTCTTCATTCTCTTTTTTAGTACAACAAACATCTTACAAGATGGGAAATATTTTATGATGAAAGGAGTTTCTTCTAGCAATATTGTCACTTTCCCAAAACAACATAAAAATATTAGGGTCCTGGTTTGGCAACCAGACTAAGTTGGAAAATGAATGAAATCAGACTTAAAAGAAAAGCCTTGGCAGATAAATGTAATTTTTCTTCATCTCCCAAAAGACTTGCAAAAGAGAACAATTTTCTTTCTATGCAAGTGTCTTCCTGGCCTGTGGAAAGATGTATGCTAGAATTAGAAATTAAAAAGGGACAGAACAACTACAGACTCATTAGTTTTAACTGAGTTGAACTGAGAAGCAGTTTTAGGCACATGGGGAGGAAGGAGATTGGTATAGACTGTCAAGAATTTACCAAGGACAAATCATGCCTTGCCAATACTGTTGCATTCTGTGATAAAATTATTTGTTCTGGAAAAAGAGGAAGGGGATGCCTATTCCCTTGGCTTTAGCAAGGTTTTCAGCATGGTTCTGTGTAGCATTTGTGGTCAAAATGGGAATACATGAAGTAGATTACATACAGGTCAACTGCAAGCTGTGGGAAAAACTGGCTGGATTGATGGGCTCTAAAGGACAGTGGTCAGTGATTGAAGTTTAACTAGTGGTCAGTTTTGAGTGATATTCCTCTGAGTTAATTATAGGGTTGATAATACAATGTTGATTTAACATTTTCATTAGTGACTTGGATATTGAATCAGTATCCATCCTCATCAAGTTCAATGTGTGAATGCCTCATCCCAGGAACTGTTTAAGGCCAGGTTGGATGGGGCTCTGAGCAACCTGGTTTGGTGTCCCTGCCTATGGCATGGGAGTTGGAACTAGATAAACTTTAAGGTCCTTTCCAACCCAAATCATTCTGTGATTCTGCAGTTCTGTGACACTGAATGGAGGAAGCAATCCACATGCTGGGAGAAACTGGATGGATGGGCTGACCAAAAGCTCATGAATTTCAGGAAATGAAAATGTGAAGTTATTCACCTGGGATGTATTGAGATTGTGTATAGAGCTGGGTCTGCCTGGAGAGGCGGCTCTGTGCCCTGTGAGGGGTGAAAGCTGAGGCAGCAGTGTGCTCTTGTGGCCACGGAGGCTCACAGCACCAAGGGCTGCATTGCACAGAGCACACCCTGCAGGTCACAGCAAACAGGGATTCCCTTCCCACCCTTGCACTGCCACGGCCATTTAGTCTGGCTTTGGGTGTTCAGTACAAAAAAGAGTAAAAAGACAGGGGGAAGGTACTTACAATTAGAGGCAAATAGAATTATAACCTGATTTATTTTGTCACGTTGTTTGTATATGTTCAAATGAGTGCAAATGACACAATTAATGTAGATTGAAACTATTTTACCTTTTTTTCTATCTTTAGAAAGCAAAAATGCATCAGAAAACATTAATAGAGGCTTCCAGATCTAAGGCAAAGCTTCACAATGGACCAGAACATTCTACTGATATTCCAAAACTCCATACAACAGTAAGTAATACTTAATAACACTGTTTTATTTTCACAAATAGGTAAGTGGCTGTATACATGCTGCTGCTTACACTTTCTTTAATAATGTTTATGTTGACAAGCTCCAAGTACATAAGAAAGAATCTGTATCTTCTGCAAATCACCACTTCCCATTCTGACATAGCCTTAGACAAGCACTTGGCCAGAGTGAGATTCAGATCTGCAGATTACTCTGAAAAAGTGTGGGCAAGATGGGCCCTCTGCTATGTGACATGTACCTGTCGTGAGACAGCCATTCATGATAACCTTGCTGAGGTTAAGACCTCCTCCTTTCATTGTTGAGTACATCTGTGCAACCTTTGATACATACATGGAGGTGTCCTTTATCAGTACCATGTCCCTGACTGCCTGGAGATACACCACTTGTTGCATCTGCAGAAACCATTTTGTTCTCATTTCTGTCAGTTAATTGGAGTGGGAGAAAATAGAAAGCCTTTGTTAAGATCTAATTCACACCTAACAGCATATTTAGATGTTGAGTTTTGATAAAACATGGGGTAATCCTCAGTTCCAATAAACTGTTTTTGAGCTAACTGGATTATTTCTGTGTAAGCATCACAGCTAAGGAGGATTTAAGGGGGATAGTTTCTTTGTTGCTTATAAGTTACTCTTACATGTGAGGAAAAATGAAAAAGAATAAACATGAGGTGCTGTTTTAAAACTTGTGTGAAGGTAAGAGATTCTATTTTGGGCTCTCTGGCATGAATAATAATGACAACTAAGGTGGCTGCAAATTGAAAAAGAAAAGAGAAGGTTCATGTTTGAAGTGATGGAGAAGCAAGGAACCTAATAGGAGGCAAGGGGATTGTCTCAGAGTGCTGGACTAGGATTTTTCCCACATTATCTTAAACTTCAGAAAGATATGGAAAGACACATCTGGGAATGCAAGATGAAGTGGGCTGAAACAATTATTTAGGTACTTGCATAAACAATAGTGAGACTGTTAAACAGCAATATTTTGCAGAAATTATCTGAAAATTTTTTACACAAGCATAAGTAATCTGGAAGTTGTTAGTGGAGAGAAATATATTGTCAGATTTTAATTTAAAGGCTTGAACCTCAAGCTCTGAATGTTCATATCTTAGAGGGAGAGCATTTAAAAAGAAAATACCTTCATGGTTCTACAATCAATATTTCAATAGCAGAAGATAAAAACAAGAAGTTTAGTCAATTTTGCAGAATAGGTGTATTGAGAAAACAGATGTATCAGCAACATCATATAACATTCCACAGGTACTTTGCTTAGAAGAATTACAAATGACAGACATGGCTGGAAAATTTTTTAATGCAACAATCTGCCTAACACTCTCAGCAGGGAGAGATGAAGATTAAGCTAAGATGGTTATTGCAAACCAGTCATGGTCAGCTAATCAAACATGTGAGCTACATGCATGCAAGGAGTTGTATTTTTTTTTTCAGTAGGTCATGATTAGAAGACAGAGCTGTTACTCAAGGATATTTATTCCAAGACTCCCAACCTATTCAATATAAAGAGTAGTAATGAGTCTGGAAAGGGTATGTGTCTTTCAGTCTTGGAGATTTCCTGGAGCAGTAGTTCTATGCTATTGCGTTTTGAGAGAAAGAGGGCCCGCTCTTTTTTTTTTTTTTTTCCTTATTTGGAGTAATAAGTAATAATTTATAGTGGAATTCTGAGGTCACAGACTGTGGCTGACATCCTGTACGAATCCAAATAACATTGTACAGCAAACTTCTATTGGATAAAGGCTTGATTTTCTTTTTTGCAATTCATAAATCAGACTCAAAGGCAGAAAAGCAAAGCATGTAAAAGCACCCACTGAAAAAACACTCTCTCCTTTTTTTTGTATTGATGGAAACAAACTGTGAATTTAGTATAAAGGATTGTTTTAGTGGTCCTCAGAAACCTGAGGGCATCTCCACCAACTGAATAATATTTTCAAAAGGCAGTTCATGATTTAACTCTCCTCTCATTTTAAATGCTAGCATGAGAGTTAAGCAATGTATTTATTTTGAATTTCAGGTTGCACCTGGTCGCTGTGTAACTGTGGAAGGGCTTTGTCAGGAAGGGCTGCGGGCTGATACAGACCCTGCTCGTAGAAAGTCCACTGTTGGTAGAGCCATCAGAAACAATCAAAAGAGATAAAACATTGGACTCAGTCAAGAAAAAATCAGTACCTGTAGAATAGATGCTGTTCCAAAGAGTGGTATATTAATATGTAGTTACCTATGTGTAGATACAAGATAAAATCTGTTTTTAATGACTTGAAAAATAGTTTAGAACATCAAAAGAGTAAAATTATATTTTCTCTTAATTATATAATATAGAGATGTTTTATTAATGAAGTCCTCTATGGTACAAAGGTATGTTAGTCTAGTGACTTTGTGTGCTAATATCCACTGTCAACAGGTCCACTATTTTAATTTCCTGACACATTCCATACATTGCAGTTTAAGCATCTCATTGAACAGGGTCATAAATCTTCACATAAACACATTTGATTCTTCATTTTCCTGAATACCATACCCACATGGTTTTTGTCCAAGCCCATTCTGTTTCTTGAATTGCCACTTTTACCATCAGGACTTCTGACATCCAAGTTTTCATCTAAACACTCACTAAGGAGCTTGTTCGTGCCAGCAGTTTCTCCCAGCCTGTTGGAGAGGCCTGCTGGAATGTCCTTCTCCATTTGGGTTGCTCACAGCTCTTTAACTGATCTTACTAATCTAATAATTGTTGGGCTCTTATCCCCGTTGTCTCCAGAAATAATTCATTTTCTTCCACCTTTGCACCTCTAGAATGCTTACACGAGCTGGTGAGCAGCAGACCTCTGTGTAGATGACTCAATTTCTGAGCTATTTTCTATTTCAATTCGGTCAATGCCAGAATTCACTGTTATACAATAGCACAAGACTCCCTGAGGCTCTTAATTCTAAAACCATTTGCTGTCCAGTGCTATGGCATAAATTTCTCTGACATTGCAAGCTTTTATGCTGTGACATACAAACTGGCACTTAGTTTGTCTTTTTTGCCTGTCACCAATATCTCGAGAAAAGCACAAACTTTTGTTTTTTTAACTGCCAGCTTAGAAAAAAGGAAATAAATTTGAGCTAAACATACTCCAACTCACTTTTTTTTTACTTCCTGAAAGAGGGATGGGATAGGGTGTGTGTATAAGTGTATCTTCAAAATGTTTCTCACACAACAAGACAAACATAGAAATAGTGGCATTAAAAATAAAGGCAAATACTTTTGTTTCAAAATTGACTACCTAAATTCTATAAAAAGAAGAACCCTAAGAAAATAATTACATAAACTAAAACATACATATGAAAAATGATATTTGAAGTTTAGAAAAGTCTCTATAAATGCATTTTCCAAAAATCAGAAGGATTTTTTTTATGGGCAGGTCTTGTTGAGTAAGGAAGTCATCACATTGTAGAGTAGAAAAGTCATCTAATACTTAGAGAAATTAAATTGACTTGTGCTAATTTAATTGAACTTTTTATGGTGACCCTTTGCTGACTTATAATTTTAGCTATTATCTAATTTAATTATTACATTTTCCCAAGACTATCTGTATAAAGTTTGTTTTATTAAACTAGCCTACTTGTATTTTGTGCCTGCCTACAAGAAAAGTTAGCCAAGGTATATAAAGATTCTCTAACTGAAGTCCTGTGTCGAATAGTTTTGCTCAGTTTTTTATGTTTACATTTCTCTGACAAGGCTAATAAAGCTTTACTGCTTTATTACTGGTTTAGAGGATGTGTGGTCTGTTGTCTTTTTACAATTAAAACCAAATGATACATATTTTACTAGGAGACCAAAGACTGTGACGTTTGGAGGGGTTTTTACTTGCTTTTTTACATGCACATATGTGAATGTGTAGGTGACTCATTACTACTGGCAGCAAGGCAAAGGCCCGTTAAAAAAAATGTAGAGGACATGTAAGTCCTCCCAATTTCTGAGCAAAAACTACAGCAGTACACTGTAGCCAAGGTATGGATAAAGAACCAGAAATCAGTTTTGCTTTTGCAAAAGTCACAGAGTAAGCTCCATGGCATTCTCCCACAACTGCATTGTTTCTGCTACAGACACCCTGACTGTAAATGAGCAGCTGCAAATGCAAATGCTCTTGGTAATTAAGCATTGATGGTAATTAATAATGACTGGAGAATGAAGGGGACAGAATTTCCCCAAATAGTTACATTTGTCCTTCATAAATTAGTACTAACATAAGCAGCACACAGCACAAACAGCATTTGATTTTGTCAGACAGCCATGGACCATAGTTTGGCTGTTGCAGGGGGGAACATTCAACACCCAAGAAGCTGGCCTTGCTGTCCCTGCTGTAACCAAGGGGTGCAAAAAGAGGGGGTAGTGGTGGAAGGAGAGATAATCCCATTCACTGTTAATCCCTCATGCTGACATGCCAGGAGCAGTCAGCTGTGGCTTCCCACAGCTCTCATAGATGTACACCATAGCATGTCCACCTGGAACTTGTTTCACTGCTGCTGCAACCTGGGGTTCATAATCACCTGCTCCTTTGGCAGACACCACAGGGTGACCAAAGCAATTGATTGTTCAAACATTCTGGAAACAATTATGGTGGATGCTAAGCACTTTAGTGTCTTATAGAAAACTAACTAAAACAGACTTAGTGCCTGAAGAAGGATGAAGCTTTTAAAACTGCATAAGATACCTTGCTCTGGCGTTCAATTAAAAGACCACTAATAGAGGAAACAATCCCTTTAAAATGTTATTATACTTTAACACTTCTGTAGGTGATCAGTGTAGATAAACAAGGGGCCTTTTTTAATATTGTTTATGCCAATTAAAGCTTCTGTTGTAAATGCAATGCAGTACACAGCTTTATCAACTGGATACTGCTGGGGGCAGGTTAGATAATTGCTCTCAACCTGCTGCTCATCATAATGTATCAATTGCTGAAGTTGCTGTGTTTGGGTGTGTAATAACTCCATCTGCTCAAAAATGTTATTTCTATCAGGAACAAAGTGATGTTCATGGGCCAGAAAAATCTCTCACTACTTTTGTACCCTCTCCAGAATACTGTAGGAGATATATTTTAGAAGATGCAGTTCAATATTGTATTTACCTAAATGAACATTTATAAATCTATGAGATTTGTTGGATATTTTACAAACTATATATGAGCTAGGCATTATGTGGGATGGATTTCTTGTTCCTTATATATGCTTTTACAGAATGAGTACTATTTCCTAAAATAATTAAAACCACCTGTAATCTCATAAAAGTCTAAAACACAACAGGGACTGAACAAGCTGCATCGCCCAAGGAGTAAAGCAGAGAACAGTCAGCATTTCTCAGGATTTTTTCTGCTCAGAATTGGATTTAGGAGGCAGTTAACCTCCTTGAATTATTTTATCCATGCTCAATGGTTTACACTGAGATCGGCAGTTCAATCAGCCTGTCCCTCTTTTGAACCACTTGGTGCAATGACAGGGATGGGCTGCATCACCTTGTTTGCAGTCTTGTGTAAAGCATGTCACATAGTAGTGGCATCAAATAACATATTACTAGGCAAGAAAGCTACTGCTATTCAGACCTTGCTGCTTAGAAAAATACTTTAATTAATCCATAGCTTAGACTAAGCAATGATAAAATACAAAGTCTAGACTGCACAGGACATTACAATGAGCATAATCCTTCCCTTTAGCTTAATGTCTCACCTCCTTCTTTTTTCTTTTTTTTTTCAGTTCTTAAGGTTAATAGTATGTGCAAGACAATTTATAAAATAAATTTGTTCACATTTTCTCAGTTGCATAATGTATAAAAATATTTTGGGTTTCCATCAAAATTAACTTTTAAAAAGAGAATTATTGGAAAATACATGACTCTACAAAAATATGACACATACAGACTTTAAAGTTTATGTGGGAAAACAAATTTTTGACTCAGAACACATTCACACATGGAGGGAGGAAAAGGCAAGCTTAGTAGACTGCAAGACAGGAAAGCAAAAGGGACAGTGTGGGGATTCATGTACCTATCAGTTTAGGAGTGATTGAGTACTTTATACAAAAAGAAAAGAAAAATAAAAGGGTTGAACCATGCCAAAGGATTTCTCCAAATATCTGCAATACATATTGTGATTTTGTGCTCTTTCATTTTGATGTTGCCTTGTTTAAATATCTTCATTTTCTCTCCTTTTGGCCTAAAATGGATTGGTGAAAGCAGACCCTGCAAGATTATGAAAGACAGGTAGTTATTATCCAAGCAATATATTAGAAATGCCATGATTAAATATTCTTAACGTTCATTCCAAGAACCTGAATCATCTGACAGGGTACATCAGAAAAAAGCCTATTGCTGAGGAGGAATGAGGTCAACAGATCTAGGAGTGGTTAGTAAGATGTAAAGTCACCTACATGATCTCAGTTCAGACTCTAACCCGATCATGATGACCAGAACCTGTCACTGTTTAATGATTCACAGTGACCATGACATCACATTATAGGTCAGTAGTTTTACTGGGAAAAATAGGGCTCAAACCATCAGGGGTTTGAACCTCCCTTCTGCAGAACAAAGAATCCCCAAAGCTGAGACTGAGCTCCTAATACCAGGAAACTTTGAGTATTGTAATTACTTATCCATGTGTTGTCATTTATATGCACACTGTGATAAACAGACAATGCAGCATCCATTTCCACACACTTCCACATGCATACCCAGTATTTTTTACACTTTGTTAAATATAGAAATGTGGTACTCTTAACTACCAGTGTCTCGTGTATTGTGAAAGTAGCTACCGTTGAAAGATGCAAACACTTTTGACAAGTAGAGACAGAAAATTGGAAATTAGTATATTGAGCTGTCTAAACATTGAAGGGTGAGGATGGAGCATTGGTTCAGTTCAATATTAGTACCACATCCCATAACTATAGTTACCTCCTAAAGTTCTGTGTGAGTACGTGGAAGAATATTTGGGAGATGTTAATTGTCTTCTGCCCATTCCATGGGATCTTGAGAGCACACAGTCTACATACATGTCCCAGAAGTTCTGGGCTAAATCATTGAAGAGATCATTGTGCTTGGGCTTAGGGGATTCCTTTAGGAACATCATGAAGTCCCAGAGAGCAATGACTGTATCTGCCACCTTGAGTTTCTTCATTTCCACCAGCCCATGGGATGATACCTCCCAGCACTGATGGTCAATCTCACGCAGGCTTGGAGGAGTTTCTTTTTGATACTCTAGATTGGCATAAACCAAATTCACTAATAACATACAGCCCAGCTGAAGACACCACCATCTTTTCCATACAAATTCCATACTTGAAGAAGATACCTGAAAAGAAGTGAATAAAATCACAGTGATTCTGACATTATATAGTTCATTGTCACATAACTCTCATGGGTACCCCAAGAGATCATTTAGAAGAGATCATTTTATTCAGAAAAATACCTTTTTACCAAACAGTGGAATTGTTTACCAGTCAATGAGCCCTAATGCTGGAAGCTAGTTTTGCACCTTGAAATTGTTAATGCCATTTAGAATTTGAAAACCCAAAGCAAAAAGTTTGAAGTGACCATAGCCAATGTCAGAACTGCTCCTTGAGACCAGCATTTCTTCCCTTAACCTCCTGTGCTTGGATTGTCAGTAAAATCAGGTTAATATCAGATGCTTAAAGAGTCCTAGTGGTATGCTATTTTAAGTTACTGCAAACAAATAACATTTGTAAACAGCCAGTCTTTCATGGAAAGTCTGACTCAGAAAAATGGTAATGAAGGAATGGTAAGTCAGACTGTACAGTGTATTGGGTCAGTGTAGGCATGCTATGAACTCATTCAGCAGCTGTTGCTTCCAAGAATGGAGGAGGGAAAATTCCTTTTTGGCCTATATTAGAAAATTAAGTAAGATTTTGGCATTATTTGGCATTATTATTTCTAGTATATATGGAAAACAGAGAAAGTATCTGGAGAATTGGAGATGGAAAGTGCAAAAAAACAGGAGGCATAATAAGAACTTCAAATGCTACAGAGTATGTATTCTTTACTATACAGAGATTCCCCCTGGGAAAAATGCAGTCTTCCTATGATGTGTATTCCATATCCTTGAATCAAGTTTAGACAGAACAGCACTGAAACACCTGATTTATTTTTTTTTAGTCAGTCCTTTCTATCAAGATAAAGTGCAGAGGAACAGGAGAATAAACATAAAGAGAAAACCAATCAAACAAAAAAGACAAGCATAGGAAGAAGTCTGAAGAAAAAGAAGTCAATCAAAACTTTCAGACAGTGCCCCTTATTTTGGTATCCTGAATCAATTTCATTTTAAGTAGTTGATGCCATGCTTATTCTCACAGTTTCCAATTTGGAATGTAAAATACAATTACGAAAATGATGTGAGGTTTTGTACAGAAAATAGTGATGGAATTAGAGAGAGAATAATCCATAGATCATACAACATTTATGTGGAATGTCTGTAAGAAAACAGAGTTGGGGTGACACCATGGAGCTCACAGTCACAGCAAACTGGGTCAGAACCAGGACAGCTTGAAATAGGCCTTTTTGCTGTGGCCTCAGGGTCCTGGGATGATTTTTAGTTTGAATGTGTAATCACACTGCTGCAGCCACCTGAGGTCCCTAATCACGTATTCCTTTACTTCAGCTTCTGAACCCAAGGAACTGAGCTGGACGGATACCCTCCAACCTAGCTCCTTCCTAAAAGCCTGGGCCAGCTACATTTCAGCAGGCAGCAGGATTACCTGCCTCAGCATCCTGAGAGTTTATCAGCATGCATTAGTTTTCTTCTTTGGGTTCTTAGAAAACTGGTCCCAGCAAACTAGTAGGGATGGAAATGCTTCTTTTCTCATTTCCACTTCACTAGGCACCAGCGTTCAGAGGAAGGACACATTGGTAATTTCCTACAAAGTAGGAAAACGGCAGCCAGGAAACAACCAACATTTTGAGTTGTTCTGATTTCATGTTTTAATCCAGCTAAAAACTGAAATGCTAAAGGCCCATTTGAACAGCACAAGCAGGAGCAGAGACCACAACAAACCTCAGAGACTTTGAACTAGTAACTCCCACTATTCAGCACAAGACAGAGGAATTTCACAAAGGCAGTAACTAAAGAGCCACAGCAGAAGTTGTACTTACAGTCTTTGAGCGAGGAGATGGAAAGCAGTAGCCTTGAAAAAGAGAAGTCAGCCACTTGGAGGTAAAGAGAGACATTCATGGGAGGGCTGCAAGTGCCTGGCAGCTGCTGGATGCTCCGAGGATGCTGAGGTTACAGTGCACAGGGACGGCTGTGCCACTGGCAAGGCAGCGGCAGCAGCAGCAGCAGCAGCTGAGCGCGGGTCGGGGGAAGGGTGGAGGGAGCTGTGGCAGCCCCACCTCTCTCTGCAGCAGCGCCCAGTATCAGCCCAGCCAGCGCTGGGGCATCACCTGCAGACACTGCCCTCGGGGAGGGGCAGAGGGCTCTCGGAGGGAGGGAAACATAATGGATAGCAAACCCTAATCAGGAACAGGAACACTCTCATTTAATAAACTCCCATCATAAACCTAGCTTTCCATGCACGTTCTCGTTTGCCCACCAGAACATGCAGGGACAATGTTCAAAGTAATGAAAAAGAACAAATATGTGGTAAAATTGGGTCTGTTAAGGTTCACAACATGATTTGGTGGAGTTCAACATGACAGGAACAGTGAGATAGTTTTTTCAAGTAGAAATTTAGTAATTTCTGTCAAAAATCAAAATATAGAATGCTTAAGCACAAATACAAATCTGCTCTGAAATGACAGAGTGTCGTGAACATATTGTAATGTTCATGTCATTACATATTGTAATGTTTACAATAATTTTGTATTTTCTGGAAGCCTTACCAGCTAAGCTATGTCAACACTGTTTCAAAATCTTGCTTCAAAAAGTATGGCATGTTTGAACCTACCTAACTAAATAGAAGGAAATATCTGCAAGACAGGAATATAGTTAGTTTATCTCTGAACTCGTTGTATCATTGAAAGGAGCTAAAGCTCTGTTAGATGCAGTTATTCCTTGAAATTCTAAGGCGGTGTTCATAAAAAAGAAATTAAAGTGTTAGAAAGACTTCACAAAGAACCTACCTTTAAGTGAGCTCCTTTGTATCGCTAATAAAAAACAGCATTCAGTAAGTTTTCAAGTTAAGAAAATGTTCCCTTTTTGTTTGGTTTATGCACTATCAAACTTATTAGTGTTGTCAGTGTCACAGTGAAACTGCCAAAATTTCAAAGGCATTTTAAGGCATCTAAAGAGGTGGGCAGTTCTACAGCTGCTTGGCTGTTTCAATGCCTTCTCATTTCATTTCTGCTTAAAACATCTAGGTGTAGCACAGGCTACTGGTGCAAACACAGTGATTTTCCTTCTACTCCAACAGCCACTGAAGGCAGCTTTTCATCATATTTCTTCATCCTACAGATTCATTTTTATCACTCTCCTCTTTTCCTTTTTCTAGTTAAATCCACCATTTTTAGTCTTAAAACAAGGTACTTGCAGAACACACCTATAGAAATCAAAATGCTGAGGAATAGATTTTTGTTGGGAAAATCTTTTCAAATAAAAATACTTCTTTTTAAAATGTCCGCTTGTCAACAATGTTCTCTTAGGAATCTACATGAAGATTCATTGATAATATCTTAAAAAAATCCCATCTCTATGGGAAAAAGGTTCTGAAGGCTGACTTCTCTATTTTTATTTTCCTTTCTGATGTTATCCACTTTGTCAGTCATGCAGTGAGGGATCATCACCTGTGGGGGAATGCCACCTGGAAGAAGGATGAACCCATTAATTCAAGTTAGCAGAGATCAAAAGGGAAACTAATAATCCTGTGAAATGTTACATGAAGTTTGTAGGATGGAAGCATTATGAAGACAGTCCCTGATCATGTTTATTAAGTTAATCACTTAAATTTCTATTTCAGAACAAGAAAAGTCAAGGAAAGTCAAGAAAAATTAATCTGTGACCACCTTTGTAACATCTAACATATCTGAAAGCTACATAAAAGCTTGGGCTGAAGGGGAAATCCTTAAAGCAGAGAACATATCCATGTACTTTGGAAAGGTGTTTTTTTGAGATAATGAGTAAATGTAAATGGGATTTAGAGAAAAATTGTGTTGTGTTCCTGATTCTGCAGGGCTTCCAAAAGAATTCCAAAGCTGCAACATACAGCATACAGCTTACATATAAACCCAAGGACTCCAGCACAGCTGCTTGACACTGAGTTTTATTAGATGGCTCATATGGCTTATAGTAAAAGTATCTATTTATGTGATTTTTAATTTTTTAGTTGATAGGTTTAATCTGGGCAAAATAAAGTGTTTCCCTCAAAATTCTTCCAGCAGTGATACCTTCCCATGGCAGGTGTGTTAAACTGTTGTACTTCTATTTATTCCTTCTATTATGACAGCTGAGGTGCTTCCATCTAGTGGGACTTTATGGTACTGAAGAGTGTACCCTTGCTGTTGGGTAAATCTCTTTATCTTTTCCCATAAAACTGTAAAATTAATACATCAATATTTTACAATATTTGGACCTTGGGTATGTTGGTGAAGTTATTTCTCTCGATTAAAAAGACCATTATGCAAACTTACCAGCTATGTGCACGTTCAGAAAGGCAAGGAAAGAAAAAACAACTTTCATTTTTTGACTACTTCAACTCTATGTTAAATAAAACTGTATTGCTAAAATATTTCTGCTTATTTTCTACATATTTCCATCTAATTTAGTTCTTTTCTAGACTGAGAAAAAGTCTGAGACTGACTGACTTGCATCACATAAAGCAAATTTCAAAAATCTGCTGATGGAAGTTCTAAAATTGTTGGGGGAAGAGATTTTCTTGTTAGAGTTGATGACAGTGCACTACTTAGTAATTTATACCATGAGAGAAAAGAAACAGAGGGATAAAACTGTGATTTGAGTAGTGGTACCCCCGTGATTTTCAAGCAATCATATACAAGTATTTGAAGTACACAGTAAAAATGAAAGAGCAGGAACTGAAGCATTACTTATCATGAAACTCAGAATATGCATTGACTATATATAAGTCAGTTTGGAAAGCTTTAAAATGCTCCCAGCCTTTTGTGACTGAATTATATATATATATATCTGTGACATAGGCACACTTGTTCGTAAACAGGATTGATTCACTGAGGATAAAGAATTGAGTCACCTTCTGCATCACTGATTAGCAGCTTCTGAAGTAAAAAATGACAGAGTGATGTTCTGCCATCAGGGTTGACAATGAGGCCTGCCCTGTTACTGAAAATCAGGTATGATACACACAATGCAAGCAGGAGAGAAAGGTGATGGAATCAGTTCCTGCCCTGGCAAAGAGAGTCTCTTCAGGAGACCAGATACATTTCTGAAGTCAGGTATTTAGACAATGAAACATCGAAATATCTTCAAACTTCAGAGTTTAAATGATTCTGTTTCAGTAATTCTTAGCATCATGTATGTGTGACGAGCCACTTTATGTTTTTAAAGGATCCAGAAAATGCACAATGCTCCATTTCAAAT